GGGTGTCTAGAACATCCTCTGAAGGTGTCAAAGTTATCACAAAATGCAAGGTTGAAACCTATAACCCCCGCACTATTACTGTGTTTATGTCAACAGTTAATTAGAAGAAGAAAATAACAATAATATTGAGTTAGAGTTCGGAAATTTGGTGACCGAGTCAATACAGTCTGTAAGTAACAAAATGGAGGTATCTTCTGCAGGATATTTAAAACTCGCTAGTTCTCTAATACAATCTAATTCTGGTGATTCAGATATTAACCTAAACGCATTTTTGAATTCCTTAGATTTAGAAAAGCATCACTACGACAGAAAATTAAATTTATTTATACAAATTATCAAAACCAGGTTAGAAGGAAAAGCTTTGGAAGCCATTTCTACAAATGCGAATACCTATGGGGAAATTCGAAATGCATTAAAGGAAAACAGATTCTTCCGAGGTAATATAGAAGGGTGCAGAGGTATTAACCGAATGCTTAAAACGTTCATTAATAATCGAAGGAACCTCGGATTCAAAAGCTGAATCATTATAGAGGAAATTACTCTAGCTATGGTACATAAGGAAATTACTTTAGGTGTAATACTAAGGTCTAATACATCAACAAACTTTAACCGTTTTTGTGCCAATTGTACAAAAATAACTATTAAGAAACGGACATAAGATTTCCTGCCTTTACGGTAGCTTCGAATTAATTGTAGCAGAGATAAAGAAGCACCCAAATCTTTCAGTTTTTTAAGTAATAAAAATCAAGATGGACAACGTCAAATGTAGATAAAAAAATAACATACGGTGGCTTAATTAAATGTTTTATGAAAAATTCTAACTGAAAAACTGTTAGGTCCATAAGATACATAGGTACATGTGCTTGCTACTACAATTTAAGAGTACCTAGGTATGTAATAACTTCATGCTTAATATCCATTTAAAACTTATAAGAAGTAATAGTGATACTGAATGTATAATCGGAACCGAATTTGCATGATAACAGCCTGTAGAATATATGTATGTAAAGGCAGCCAATGAATTTTAAGCAGGCGGATATTGCTGATACAATTATAATTTGTTAATCAGTGCTAGTGATGAGGTTTTTACAGTAACACATCCAAGTATGAATTTGGAAAAGATTTTATTTGTGAAAAAATAACGAAATTAGATTAGAAACGAACCCACTTTGTCGACCATCTTGGATTTGTTCGCGGTTTATTTCACGTCATTAATTTAATTCGCGGATTTAATTTAGTTTGGTGCTTTTGCGAATTTAAATAAATTAAATTCTATATATCAATTATTTTGAAAATGGAAACACATCGTGCGATATCATATTATTTTACACTTGTTCACTATCTGTCTCTTACACGGGAATGCGCTGTCTTTATCACGACACTATTCTGAAATAGCTGATGGAAATTAAAATGTGTAAACAAGACTTAATTATGTTTACTTTCAATTCATCTTTCAGTCAATCTTACAAAAAGTAACACAAACAATTAATTAAATCATCATTATAACACAAAACCCGTTTCCACAGCACCCAGGAGGTAGAGTTAATGGCGCGTTTTTTTAACGTGGTATCCCCTGTAGGCCTAATCCACACATGCTGAGTCTTGGTATTCGCAGAGTACCCCTCCACAAGAAAAAGCTAGCGCATTCATATGTAAGAGATATAGTGAACAAGTGGAAAATAATATGACGTCACACGATGTAAGCGCGGAACTGTGAATTAAATTAATTCCGCCAATAAATCAGACAGTTTAATTTAATTTGACTGATTTATGGTTATTAACCTCATTAGGCCGCCGCGCCGTGCTAAAATTTCATCAAATGCCGACATTTTAGATCATTTTAAGAAACTTTTAAAGAATAAAATTTTTTCAGTCTGTATGTACGTACGTCCGTTAGCGAAAGGTAACGGCTCGACGGATTTTGTTCAAATTTTGGATATGTATATTATAGGCATTTTTGGGCTAGGAAGTTTTTCTGTCAAGAATTCGGCACCTGGTTTTTAGTGTGGATATCAAGATGCTAAAAGTTTCGAGTGGAATTGGGGGAACAAAAGAGCATTCGGTGTATTTTCACACCTTACGCCTCATAAACAACCCCCATAAGGTCGGAAAGCTCCTATTTATAGGTTATAACTATTCCGTTCCAATAAATGACGTGTTATGTAAAAATTGGTACCCAAAGGTCTGATGTCAAAAATCATAATCCTAGGAAGAAAAAACTCTACGACCGACGACTTGATAACAAAAATCACGATCCTGTAGGGTAGTTTATATCCGAGTAACAATAAAACAAATTGTGGAAAACTAAATTGTACAATTAATAATTTAAAATTGAAATAACTGTTCAATACATATGTATAATGGATGTGTAATTTTCCAAGAGTAGGTAAGTGATACTATTATTTACAGCCTTTTACCTCGTTATTTACATAAGACAAACGTACCTATACCGCTATAATTGAATGTATATATTGGAAAGCTGTGCCTCATTTCCTGTCAGGTAGAATTCTATATCGATCATCGATTGTGTACATTGAAAAAAAAAGAGGTAGTTACAGAATAAGATTACTGTGCGATGTATCTAATAAAACGTTTTCTTGACTGTTTTCGTATGTAATTAAAGAATGGCGAGAATCCTTGCAGAGAAAACAACTTTTGTAAATAATTTATGTCGGTAAGGTAAACCGAAAATAAAAGCAATGTATAAGTATCCATTTCCTCGCAGTTTTCCCTGTTAGTGATCAAATTCTTATTTTATAGTCGATTCAGGGTTGAATTAGTGGAGGTACTAGAGCTCATAGTGGATTGCCTAATTCACTTTATTATCGCAATTTGCAAGTTTCTCAAATATGCTGCGAAATTAGACATAAGTAGGTAGAAAACGTGCATCAGGCAAAACTGAAACTAAATCACTAAGTTGCACTTCAACTGGTGAATTACTTTGCGGTTTCTCTAACGCGCTCTATTACATGCCTAATGGTAGGTAATGTAATGCCCTCTGGTATAAATTGCTGCGAGGAATGTGCTCATCGTTTATAAGAACGACAACGTTACCAGCAAAGTTACCTACCTACTTGTTTTAATCAAATTGTAGGAAGGACAAAACAAGCAACATTGGAAATGTTTAAAACTGAGAACGATTTCGAACTCCCCATAAAGCCCAACTGAAGTCAGTTAAGGGTTAAAAGCAAAGAACTAACGAAAACAATTTAATGTACGGTAAACAGTGCAATTCATTTAGAAGCAGACAAAGGGATTTCCTATGTCTACTTTTAAATGGCAAACATCTTCTGAAAGTCGTCTAATTTTATGCAACTGAAATAACATGCGCAGGCATTTTGAATTGTCATTTAAAAACGACAGTAAATATTATGCTTTTTGATGATGGTCACTATTTCCCTTATGTTTCTTATGGGATTCTCTTCCAGAAAAATTAACACGTTCAGTTTCATATCCTCCGTTAAAACTCAGGGTTGTTTACAGTGTCTTATGTGGATCGCATTTAAATAATAAGTATTAATATTAATTTTAAAGTGATCCCACGCTCCTTAAACTATTACCGGCTCTATATCAATTGACAATATTAACTTTTTCTTCAATTGAATACATCGCACACGAACGAAAATAAAAATACGGAAGCCAAAGCAACGATATTCCAATTAATTAATAGATAAAACAAGCAAAATCTTCATTTTGTTTTAAGAAAATTGTGTTGCATAAAATTAGGCGTCTTGAAGAAGAGTTTTTGTCATTTAAAATAGACATAGGAAATTCCTAGGTTTACTTCTAAATTTATGTCACTGTATGTACATCCTTCATTATGTTTGCTGGCTAATTTCTAAGGGAAGCAAAGTGCTACTGATTCAATATTATTATTTTAAGCAGCTTTTCAAGCATATTTTTTTCCCGTCTGTATGTATGTATGTGTGTACGTTGACAATTTTCCGAGATAACGGCTGGACGGATTTTGTTCAAATTTTAAATGCATATGTATAAATTAATTCTAATTAAGAATTACGATTATCAATTATATGTTGTCTTGTAAATAAAATCTAAAATCAATAGACAAACATGACATCACTCCCGTGCAAATACTGACCACTTAACTTCGGTGATCGGACAAAAACAGGTGTTTTCAACGTACTTACAGTGTTCTAAGAGAAACAATTGCAGAATTTTTTTTAAAGAAAGAGCAGCTGAAAAGAATGTAAACGCGCCGCGAATTTAGGACATTCGGTCTTTAGATACTCTTTTAAAATATTGTTAAACAATTTTCGCATACTTGACGGAAAGTGCGTCAAGATCTCAAAGGGAAAATGCGTGAGTCCCGTGTTTCTTCTATCGCCAATTTAATAAAGGCATTATTATTGTTATTATTATTATTAAAAAGATGCACAAAACAAAAGAAGCAATCCGAATAAAAGAAAAAGGCTCACATTGCCCTCGGATGTGTCGTTGTACATTCATTCGCATGTAGGCATCTCCGCACAATTTGGGACGCAGTTTGCTTGGGGTCTTCAATTACACGGCATACTCAGATATGTTCTAGAATGATGATAATAATCGTGCGGTAATTTAGGGCTGTAACATTTTCCGGATTACTTTCAAGCGAGTCTCTTTGGAGAGTACTTCGATTTTTGTAAAGAATACAGGCCATATTTTTCCTTTGTCTACCTGTTAAGGGATTTATGTAGTCGTATACTTCTGTAAAATTATTGCTTGTTTGTTTTTTCTGTTACAGACAAGACAGAAAAGCGCCCTTCTGAGCTCAAAAGACCGTTAACATCAAAGTTCAAAGGTGTTTAGTATTTATTGTAGTCTGCTTTTGTGGTTCTTGGACCGGACCCTCTTTTTCCGATACAAAATTCACTAAAAATAAATCACCATACGTTATTTCACGAAGGTCAGATTTAAGAATCAAATGAACCAATTCGATGGGATCACAAGATGAATAATTCCTGCAGAAAACATTTGGAAATTGAAATCAACACATGACAAAATTGATTTGATTATTTACATTATTTAATAATACCAGTAAAAAAATAATACAATCTTATCACACTTTACACCCAAGCGTGCCAACCTTCATACATTCTTCCCAGTAAATTTTGATCGGTAGCTTGATCTATTAAACATTTCACTTGATCTTCCTCCGACAATTTCCCACTTTTCCCAGCTCGAAAGTTTTCGGATGGCACGCCTTCCACAACTTTAATATACTCTTCCAGATAAGATGGATTGTGGCTATGCCCACTTCTTAGTTCTTCAATAGTTACGCTTACTGGATTCACTCCTCCTTCCAATTTACTTCGAGCGTGTTCCATTTTTTGCTTCGAATACAAGGACTGTTTCAGTTTATGCCCACTAGTCTCTTCCGAACGACGTGCGGCGTCCAGCCAATCGATTGTCGGTTCCATTATAAACACATTCATCGTAGATAAAAGTATATCGGAGCTTTTCCTAAACGCGCGCATGCAGTGTATCATTGTTTCTTGCAGTAAGCCGTGCTCGTTAAAGGGTTGGAATAAGTTTACTATATGAGGTGTGAGGCGTAGAGGTACAAGTTCGGGTATTGGTAATATTTGTGTACCGAAACCGAACGCGCAACCAAAATCTACTCCTATCGCTGCCCCGGTTTGTAGAGAGATCATAGTATTTGACAAGTGACGGTCTCCTATTCCCAGTAACCATTGGGCGGTGCAGAGTACAGCATAGCTGACAGTAAACTGATGACGTAAAGCAAAAAAGTTTGCAGAGTCAACACTAATTATTGTGAACGCCCTCCTGATAAAATCATAATCAGTTGCTTACAGTTGTCATTTGTTCGTTACCTGAGAATATCTGCCGGTACGCGACTGACCAATTCCAGATAATTGGTAATGGTTTTACCTCGTGCGTAATTCATACACGCTCTACCGTAATAATCTGGAGGTGCCATGTTCTTGTTGCTCTTTGGTGTTGCCTTTTCAATCCATTTGTGGTAACTACTGAGAGCGCTATTGTAAGCAACTTGTTCTGCTTGATTAGCCAAAGCCTCCACAATGAATTCTTTCAATTCTTTGGTGTCATCTAACCATTCAATTATACCAAGTGCGCTAGTGAGGGGGATAACCTGAAAGCAACATCGGCAATTCTCCTAGTTCTAGACGAAATTGCACCGTACCTGATAAGTTTCTATGCGCATTTGTCGCTGGTTACAGGCAATGTTATGCGAAAGAATAGTATTCATCAAATTAAACACTTGCTCTATTCTTTGATCCTGTCTCAAGTCCTCTCCAAACTTAACCAAGTAATTATACTCTTTTGCATCGTTGCCTAAAATTGTAATCCTGATGGGTCTTCTCAGCGAATTCAGCACCAATACCTGTAGAGTTAATGATTAAATTTATCGTCAGATACGAGCAAACATACTGAAGGTGCAAATCCCATTATCTTTGTATGGTACTGTGGCAGAGGTCGCTTATTACCCAAGTACTGTCCGGGTATTTCCAGATTTTCCCGCAACTCTGTACTTTGGAAGTGTTCCAGCCAAGGGCAGTAATCCTTAAGTATGACGCTAGTGTACTTTATGCCTTTTAACACTTGTACCATGCCGCTTAATTTTTCACAGTTTCGTTTTAAATCAAATTTTCCTAAAAAGAAATGCTTTGTATCACCTACACACAAAAGGAGCATAGGACTACAGTGCAAATTTAATTATCTTGGTTGTTATTCTCAAATTATACTCAATTATCTGGAGAGGGTAAAGCAACAGGGTCCTTTATTGAGAGGAACAGGCTGTGAACCTGGTTGTGAAGGGTGGACACAATGAGCCGGACATAATAAAAAAAAACCGTCAAAGTGAAGAAAATATAAAGAGGGCGTAACCAAAATGTGAAAAAGACATACAAGTGTAAAAAAGCCTCGCGATAGATGTGCAGATTTAAAATGAGATGGTGGGAGAGAAGAAAAGCAGCCTCGTCCTAAGACTTTTACTTCAAGCAGCTCAGGAGATGAGCCTGGATTCTGTGTAGTAAATGCACTATTGCGTAGTAGTATTTTTGAGCAGGAATGGGCAACCTTTTTTTCCAAGGGACCAAAATAAAATATGCGCCACGGGCCACTATTTCTTTTTGGTCTTGACTTTCTTTCGTAAAAATGATTTTTTAAAAAAACAATAAGTACTCCTGATAATTGCCACGATTTTGCATACAAAATTTACCAAATGTGGATAATAAATCCCCATAATAGCTTGTATCCAAATTTTCATTTCTGTACCTTAGAGGTAAAGTATACTAAGTCACAAAATTCAAAAGTTTACAGAAAACCGAATTTTTGAAATTTTATCAAAAATTTTTGTTTTACGGGACCAAAGAGTAACATACTCTTTGACGGGACTGTTTACTTCTTATGAACTGTTTCAAATGATGGACTTATTATTGTTATGTGTAAACCAATTTTAATACATTTCTGCTCTAAAAAGGGAAGCAAGCATGTTCCATTATGTACAGCTGCATGACAAATATGGATTTCCTGAACTGTTGGAAACAAAAAAATCTATTTACAAAAAGTATCAAACAGAAATTAAACGAGCTAAAATTGAAGCTTGTGATCAGTACATTAGTAACTCATCAAAATGCATAAAAGCAATGTGGCATGTTATAAACTCACAAAGAAAATCTGAAGCGACGATAAATTGTCAACATATATCCGCTGAAGATTTTAACACCTATTTTACCTCCTTCTCAAGTACCTTCTCGCACATCCGTTGTCAACCTCAGGAAACTGTTGAACCTAACTTTATCCCTACATCGATTGAGGTGTTTAAATTTAAAACGGTTTCCTCCATTGTTGTTCGTGATACACTTTACAATTTAAAAACTAGTAACGCCAAGGACGTTCATGGATTAAATACTAAATTAATAAAAGGCAACATCAGTTTCTTAGTTAAACCTCTGACCACTATAATAACTAGTATTATCGAAACTGGAGTTTTTCCTAATGATATGAAAACGGCGTTGGTTATATCGCTTCATAAAAAAGGCGATATAGAAAACATAAGTAATTACAGACCCATTTCAATTCTACCAGTTTTCTCAAAGGTCGTTGAAAAAATTTTGTATGGACAGATAATAACCTTCTTAGAAACAAACCTGTTATTGTACCCTAACCAATTTGGATTCCAGAAAGGTAAATCCACTTCCAACGCAATTATCAAATTTGTTAATGACACTCTAGAAAACTTTAAAATGGGTCTACACACGGTCTCTGCTTTCATTGATTTATCAAAAGTCTTTGACTGTATGTCACACGACATCTTGGTTAACAAACTAAAGCGTGTATATAATTTTAGCAACCTAAGTTGCGCATTAATCCAGTCATACTTAAAAGGCAGGAAGCAATGTGTGTTATACAACTCTAGAATTTCGGAAGCAATACCTGTTACACTTGGCGTACCCCAAGGGTCAACACTTGGTCCTTTATTATTTCTAATGTATATAAACGACATGTCATCTGTTTTATCACCATCTACTCGTTGTATATTGTACGCGGACGATGTTACGCTCACTTGCAGCAGTAAGGAGTCGAATATACCCTATGCTAATATCGAATTGGATATTAAAGCTCTCGAACGCTGGTGTGCAATTCATAACTTGGAAGTTGAATTCTGATAAAACGTCAATTATTTGTTACTCATTACGTAAACAGAATGCAATCAATGTTTCTGGTCGCACTAGTGGCTCTTTTCTGGGGTGTGTAATTGATCGGCGTCTCAATTTTAATACGCATTGTGAAAATTTATGCAGACAAGTCAGCAAATCATTATATTTATTAAGAAGATTAAAGGACATGTCATCTTTTGCAGTACGAAAAAATGCCTACTTTGCTTTGGTACACAGCAAACTCACTTACGCTATTTTAGCCTGGGGACATTGTGCGTCATGGAAATCCGTTTTCAGGCTCCAACGTAAATGCATAAGAACCTTGACTAGTTTAGGACATCGGGACGATTACTGTAACAAATTTGTAGAACTGAATATTCTAACATTACCCTGTGTATATATTTTGGAATCAGTTCTTTATGCAAAGGCTAACATGTCAATGTACAATTTTCATTCCGAAGTACATTCCTATAATACTCGCCAGAAGGACAATATTAAAAAAAACTACTGTCGTTTAACTACCTCACAAAATGGGGCAATTTATCAGGCCCAAACACTTTTCAACAGTATTCCGTTCTGTATTAGGCACTTAAGTCTAAAATGGTTTAAAAAGAAAGTTAAAACATTCTTTTTGGCAAATGCTTTTTATAGTTACGAGGAATATTTGAGTGCAGTTGGGAATTGGAATTTGAAAGTTTAAGACGTGTTGTTTGTTTTATAATTATATCGTTTGTAATTTATATTTTATACTAACTATTATTTATTGTGTTATGTTAGACTTTTTGTTATGGTTTATATATTATTAGATAATAATGACAACTGTAAATGCCTGTTAATGCATACTATACGAAACTATTAAATATTAAACTATGTACAGGGCGTGGAGAATTTTTTTCCTGTATGAAATCACAACTCAGATTAGAAAAAAAATCTATTTATTTGATAAACAACTTATAATTCAATAATTTTATTGAAATTAAAAAATATATCAATACTGTTCAACTATTCATCCTCTTCGTTGTTGTAGAAAATTTCCTCCATAAACGATAAGAAACAAGTATAAATTTTTTGAGGATTAAAGCAGATTTTTAATAAGCCACTTAAATTGAAAAATGGGATATTATAAAAATAATAAATAAACAAGTATAAATTGTGCACAACCCTTGTGCAGATAAAGCACATTTTTGTTTAACCGATATAGCTTAGTAAATGGTTGGGTTATAAGGGGAGGAAGCTCTTTACACACAAACATTTAAAGACCGCCTGGCATACATTCAAAATCCTCCGAGATTCCATTCTGCAGATTTTGCCTATGAGAGTACGTTCCTCCGACAAACCGTTTTCGAGATATTCGCTCTTGTTTTGACGACACCAATGGATATATTTCTTGCAGATGTTCCAATCGCCCTTTGTGAGTCCCCTCTTCCGATAATCTGTCCTGGAGATATAAGAGAATATATCCGAACATGATAAGAAGTCGAGGAGGAGGACTATGGTTGACAGAAATTAATTCCTTTCGTTGAGACCTTTCATTAGGACACTATGAAGGATAAAGCCAGCTCCTCTCCCATCTCAGGAAATAATTGGTGGGGGGGGCTTTAACACAGCGAAATTTGATGGCCATTTGGAACACCTCCAAGGTATATGGCTACCTACTGCAAAAATTCCTGGACTCTAGAAGTAGTTCGAAACAGCAGAAGTGGGTGCGGACGGACGGGCGGACAGACGGACAAAACGCAAACAATTGCACATTTTTTTTATTCTAAAAATGCACTAAAAAAATTGAAACATACTCCTTATAATGTACTAAGTCCATCAAAACAATACAACTATTGATACTATGTTCACTTATTACAGTTTACCTCGCAATGTTACTGCGACTTAGTACTGTTTAAAATTCCCTAACTCTGTTGTTTATCATCAAACAATACTAAATCCATATATTTCGTGTAGAACAACAAAACTTATGTGACTTAGTACAAAAAAGCAATTTTTGTGGAAAAATGGACTTACCTCTGAGGTACAGATTTATGCTTTTTTTAACGTAACTTGCCCATACCTGATTTAGAGAGTATTTTGTTGTACCCACCTGCTTTAAATATCACAACAAATTGCACTGTATCACTTACCCTTCATAATTTCTTTTAATTTGTGTTCGTACTCTGCTATCTTTTTAAATATAGGACCCTTTAAGCTTTTTGGACTTTTGTAATTAATATTAGGGGGGTACAACTCATCCATCAATTTCTGATAGTTCTCCTTAAACTGTTCCTCCGAATTCGAGGCGCAAATTCTTTTCATGTAGTACTCCAGCACGTTTGTTGGTGAGGTAACAGACGCAAACGCGTATAATAGCGTATCTACTTGTGTGTTAGACAATAAGAGACCGTCCAACCTGCAATAAGTAATGACATGATGCGTTTCAGACAACGTAAGCCCTTACGTTTCAATAATTTTTTTCCCGTAGATACCTATAGTGTTTGATTGAAGTTTGTATTTCCCCTTGCTTAGTCTGTACGCGTACATTATAGCCTGAGGGTACATCTGGGCTATTTCGACGATAATATCTGAAATGGCGAAAATAGCAGCAGTATCTAAATTGGCAAGCAATTGAGGAATCCAATTCAAGAACATCCACGTCGGAATTTTAGAGCTCTGAAATAAAAGTTAAATCAACTTTCCCAAAGCAGTTAATTGTCACCTCGGCTTGAAAAGTGCTTTTGAATTGGGCAAGGTCCTTACTCAATAAGCAGGGAAACAATTGTTTTCCCTCAGTAGACCCCAATTTCATAGCTCGTAATGTCGAAATAATGAAGGTTTCAACACCATCCTCTTTATTTTGAGTGCAATACGCCAATTTTAAATAGGAGTTTGCCATATGACTATACACTTTTAAATCGTCAGTCTCCATCATTTTTTTAATTTCATTTTCGCAATCAACCAAAGTTTTTTGCAGCGTATCTACACCAAATTGCCACACCGTTTCGGGATTTACTACAGCAGTGACTCCCATTAGAGCCCTCAGGGCATCTTGTTGACCGTTGAACAGTGCATTATCAGTCTGAGACAATGCGTATATTAGTTGAGTTATATCATAAACGTGCTGAGTACGTTTCACTACACAGCACAGTGCACTATCTTCAGGACTTAAATCCCCAGTAACTGGGCCTACAATGTTACCATAAATACAAGGTCACAAAAGGTTCACTTACCGAGCTTAGTCCACGAAGTTAGCAGGACAGTAAACCGTTCAGCTTTATTTTCAATTGTTTTCGATCTATAAAGCAGAACTTTACTTACAGCCAAGGACCACTGAGTCTCCTCCACAAGTTTTCGTAAATTAGCAGTTTGTATAAGCTTAACATATTTCCTAGCGATGTAATAATTATCCTGCATCAGGGCATGCTCAATAAGATTAACGTGTATATTGCATTTAAACTTCTTTAATTTCATTAAATCGCCCCTGATATCATCTTCATCCGCCAGCGCGAGTAGCTTTTCTTCAATGACCGATACAAATTGATTACGATAAACTGTAAGCGTCTCACTTAACAAGAGGGAGTCCAAAGGGTCACGTGCCAGATTGTCCCATGATTTCAGTAGATCGTCAATGATAAACTGGAAGTTACGCATGTTTATACTCGTAATAGCCTGAGTAAATAGATAAATGTCGATTGGTCCTTTTAAGCCGGAGATTGTATTGGCTCTCAAGTTTACAAACAAGGGGTTTATTGTCGACCAATTTTCCAACCAACTGGTTATTGTGTCGTTTAGATAATACTTCGCAGTGTCGACGTCATTTTGCAAAAGACACAACATAGCTAGTTCTTCGCCAAAGTTTGATTTCAAGTATAACGACTTTTCTGGATCTTTCAGGTAGGTGTTGACCGACGAAAAAATTTGACCGTTACCGCTGAGTGTATTGCGTAATTCAGAGGTAATAAACCAAGGCAGCAGCTTTTGTTGATTCCAACCGTTATCCCACAGATACGTCCACGTGTTGTCAGATTCAGTGCCGCAAACATTATCAGTAATGGCTTCAGATAACCTATCCCACTCTCCCAAAGCTGCAAATGCTTTAAAATAGGATTCGTAGTAAAAATCTCTTCTGTACTCAGACGTGTCTTCTTTTATCACTGTGGCGTAAGCTTCTTGAGCTGCCCTCCAATGTCCGATCGATTCAGCTTCGATTGCATGTAACACAGTTTCGTTACAGTTCATTTTTTCGAGGAATATCGAGCTCACCACATCCCATTCGTTCATTTCCTTATACAACCTTGACAAAATAAACAAAAATACAAGAGTGACCGATGGGAGATACATACTCGGCGAGTTTAACCCAATGATTAGTTTGCGGACTCTCCACGCCCCTCCTTTTCTTCGATGCAGGCGCCTCCTCGAGACTTGACGATAGGTACTCCTCGAGCAAAAGACTGCCGAGCGACAATAGTCCACTCTCTTCACTAACTGTTGTAATAATATTCGGATCAAATCGCATGGTGTCGGTGAAGGAGAGAGCGATATCTAAAAAGGTACCAATCGTGTTTGTCGCGAATTGAGTCGAAGTGTTCAAGATATTATTAATGCCCGTGTTCATGCTTTGACTAAATTCATCACTTTCGGCTTGGTCTTTCTTTATTTTAGTAATTAACGATGTAAAGAGAGACGTGTAGAAGTGTCTTGCTAAACTTGGATCACACTGAAAGGAAAAATATGAATGGACGACTTTGCAGACCAGAAAAAATAGGTAATACAGTTGCGCGATTAGCTAAAGCGAAATTTTCACGTGTGACCTTTGATATCTCTTGGACGGGCGGAGTTCGCCCAGGTATTCTTAGTATTTTTGTTGAGAAATAACAAATACGGCAAGCTTCAGGCACTTAGATTTAATATTAATAGCCCCCTTAATGTTGTTTTATTGTGGATAAGGTCTGATGATGAATCGGTTGATAATTTCGAAGTCGATTAGCTAAAGAAATATTAAAATTCAATTATTTGAAAAACGAGTTTTATTGTATCAATTTGTATCGACAAATAATTCACTACGTCAAGAAAATAGTGGTTGCTATTTAAAAACAGTATGCTCCTTTTGACCGTGCACAAGTATGCTACTGACTCCAAATTGAATGTACGTGGATTGGTAGCAAACTTTTTATAATTATGGATGCCAGAAAAAGCTTCTTTAAAAAATGTTTTGAAGATAAAATTTTCACCCTGTATAAAAAGCATATCCAGAAAACGGTTAGCCTCGCGGTTAGCATTACGAAAAAAAACCGATAAGACCTACAAAAAGAATTCTTTTGTTAAGGCTGCCCTCGAGAACACCCTATATACCTAAAAATACGTTTTAGGCTTCCCCTCAGGCTTCTCGTACCAACAAACCGTTACCATTAATCCCAACCATTGAGGCTCTATCATCCGCTTACAGAAGGATTCCCTGTATAATAAAAATGATTCAACTTATATGAATAGGTATCTAAAACTTGGAAATCATAATATTCCGTTAATATTCTTAAAGAAAACCCGAGATAAAACCCTCGAAAAAACCCATGATCTGATAAATAAGCACTCCAAATTTCACATTCGTCGTAGCTTAAACCAACTAGTTAAATAAAATAGGATAAGTAAGAGCGAGAGTAAGAGTTAAAGTTGATATACTGAGTGTTTCTTTAATTACTTTAAAAGCAGAGTGTATTTTCTGTTTTTCAGAGAAAAAAATTGACGAGGCTTTTCCTTTCAATTTTCATAATGCTTGATCTCGTGCCTGATGAAACAAATATTGCGCATTTTTTAAAAAAAAAAACATAGCGTATTGGAATCTTCCGAACTTGCAGGGTAGATACAAGGAGTTTTGGGGTTGAATCGATTGAATTTCTAAACGATGGCCTTTTTTGTCGAAAACACCGGGATATTGCACAATTAAGAGCTTACTTGTGATTCAAATTCGTAAAAAAAAACTTTTTTAAAATTGTGCTAAATCCTTAAGTTTTAGAGATAAATGTTATATAGCAAAAAAGTTCCCTCGTCACAAGAGCTTTCAATAAAAAAAAAGAAAATTAAAATCGGACTATTAGGAGCAGAGATACAAAAAAAATATATTGCGGCTAATGGCGCCATTTTGACGGCCACCATTTTGGTTTCCTGCACGGATTTTCGAGTGGCTCCCTATCTCAAAAGTTGCCTTTCGATATTAACTATTACCACAGAAAGTGGCATATTCCAATCAAAAAGTGCAGTATTTTCCCCATTCTAACCATGTACCCAACGTACTATAATTGATTACTTGATAGCTTACAATTATTTTATTGTTCAAAATGGGTTTAATGTAAGGGGGGATATTTGGAATATGCGAAACATGGGCAATGTTGCTAGGGTGTATGCTATATAGTTTTTTTTGCAAAAATGTAGATACCCTTTCATTCTATGCAACAATAAATATATTATTACAATTATACTTTTCAGTATGGGAATTTTTTGCCACACAGCTCGTTTTTGGACTTTTGATCCGGCTCATATTCACTGATCCTTGAACTCGTAGAAATCCATTGGCATCGCGATTTCGTTATAGAGTTAAAAGAGGAACAGAGGGACAGACAGACGGAGAAAACCATCTAGGTATTTCCTTTGGAAACCCGTTTAGTTAAGATATGTTATTTCTATGGTGGATTGGTTATTACCTTAGTTTTTTATTTTCGCCGCTAGAGACCATCCGAGTGTTACATATTTCATTGTCCTTAGTTCTTTAGTTCGCCGTTAGTGTTATATTTATGTCAGAGTAGGCATCTGTCATGAGAGATTTTCAAATGTAATATTTATTATAAAATGTGTTCTAAGTATTTCTTGTAATTATTCGCAACAAGATACAACATGGCGCAGTCGAGGCAGTTAGTTTATTAAACTGAGCAAAGTTTTCAAGAAGTATAGGTTCCAAAACGTCGAATAAGTGTATTGTTGAACAGCTGAACCTAATTATAAGAAGAAAAGCCGAAATGGAATTCAAACCTCCAGTTAATTTGTCACTACAGAGAAATTTAAGTGAAAACTGGCGTAAATTTAGACAAACTTTTGAAATTTACCTGAAAGCTTCCGATAAGTCAACAATGAAACAAAAATAGCCACTCTATTAAATATAATTGGTGAAGATGCTGTAGAAGTATACAACACCTTTACATTGTCCGAAACTGACATGGTGTCATTTCCAGCAGTACTAAAAGCTTTCGATGACCATTGTAGTCCCAAGAAAAATATCGTGTTTGAGCGTTTTAAATTTTATAGTAGAGTGCAGCAAGAAGGAGAAGGGTTTGATCAGTTCTTAACTGATATCAAGAAATTATCGAAGTCCTGCGAATTTGGATTATTAAGTGATGAGATGGTCCGGGACAGAATTGTTTTAGGGATTTACGACAAGGTCATTCAGGAAAGATTGTTACGAGTAGAGGATCTTGATTTGGCAAAGGCTGTGAATTTATGTCGAGCTGCAGAAATTTCAAAATCTCAGGCTAGAAATTTGCAAGGGGCTTCAGTCGAAGTTGAGGTCATTAAGAAAAAGTCAGCAAACCGAAATTATAAGTCTGTTTCCAAAACCAGTGGTGACAGGTTTGAATGTAGAAGATGTCAGACTGTTCATGGCGTTCGTGAATGTCCTGCCTTTGGGAGAAGCTGCAATAAATGTGGACAGTTAAATCATTTTGCAGTTTCCTGTCAAGTAAAAAATGTGAAGGTGCTACAAGAACAGAATGAGCAACCTGACGAATTGGTGTTCACCATTAACAGCATTGGGGTAAGAAATCAGAACAAAAAGGTTTTGTCAATTAAGTCATGGTTTCAAAATGTGAACGTTGGTGATCATGTGCCTATTAAATTTAAACTAGACACTGGTGCAGATGTGAATGTCCTGTCGCGTAAAATGTTAAGTGAAGTAGGTGTTCCAGAGTCTCAGTTACAAAATACATAATTTTGGAGGCATTTGGTGGTACTGTCTTAAAACCTCTAGGCATTGTTCCACTAAAAGTTCAGTGTAACCGTTGAATTTACTGATAACTTCATAATTGTAGACAAAATTGTTTCTCCGTTATTAGGACTTGAGTCTTGTATTAAGTTAAATCTTATTGCACGCAAAGTAGATGCCTTGGGTAAGTTTATGACTAAGGATGAATTTATTAAGAATAATCTAGAATTATTTCAAGGTCTGGGTAAGTTTAGGAATAAATGTGAAATCCAAACAATGAAGCCATACCGGTCATTAACCCTCCTAGAAGGGTACCATTTGCTATTCGCGACAAATTAAAGGAAACCTTGATATCCTAGAAAATAGAAAAATTATTTCAAAAGTTGATAAACCGTCTGGTTGGGTTAATAATATCGTGATTGTTGAAAAGAAGGATGGCTCCTTAAGACTTTGTTTGGATCCTCGTGATTTAAATTTAGAAATTAAAAGACCTGCATATGTCCTTATTCCAACTCTTCAAGATATAATTGGAAACCTTAAAGGAAAAAAGTTTTTACAGTGCTCGATTTAAAGGAAGGTTTTTGGCATGTAGAACTTACTGAAAAGTCTAGTGATCTTTGTACATTTGCTACGCATTTTGGTTGTTACAAATTTAATCGTTTGCCTTTTGGGCTTAATATGGCGCCAGAATATTTTCAAGCCATTAATGAAAGAATCTTTGGAAACTTGATCGAATTTTAAATTCCGTGATCATAGAGCTACTGCAAATGGAGTTAAATTTAATCCTAGCAAGGTTCAATTTAAGCAACCCTCAGTTAATTATTTTGGTCATATCTTTTCGGAGGATGGAATGTCAGTTGATCCAAATACAATAGCAGCAATTAAAGGATTAAAAGATCCCACAAATGTAAAAGAACTGCAAAGTATTTTAGGAATGATAAATTATTTGCGACAGTTTATACCGAACTTAGCCGATATAACTTCTCCATTGTGTGAATTATTAAAACAAAAAGTTGAATTTAAATGGTTAACTGCACACTCGGTTGTGCTAGATAAAATAAAAAACATAATTTCTAATGCTCCAGTGTTAGCTAACTTTGATGCATTTAAAAAAATCACCATACAAGCCGATGCATCCAAAGATGGCCTGGGGTGCTGTCTTCTTCAGGATGACAAACCAATTTCATTTGCTTCTCGTAATTTGAGTTCTAGTGAGAAAAATTATTCCCAAATAGAGAAGGAGCTTCTCGCTATTGTTTTTGCAGTAAACAAGTTTCATATCTTCAATTATGGTCGCGAAATAAAGGTAAATACTGATCACAAACCTTTGGTAACTCTGATGAATAAAAAATTGGAGATATTGCCTCATCGCGTTTGCAAAGAATGAGAATAAAATTACAGTGTTAAATTTCTTACCAGGAAAATATATGTTTATTGCCGACTTGCTTTCACGATTTTACCTAAATTTTCCAGAGAGCGAAGGTGATGATCAATGGATTTCTGAAACTGTTCATACTTTAAGCAAAAATTTAAATATTTCAGATGCTAAAAAGTTGGAATTTATACAGGCTACTGCCAATGATCCAGTTTTGTCAAAGGTAATGTTCTATATTATAAATGGCTGGCCTAAAAGTAATGAACTAATGGACGGTTCAATTAAATACTATTATAAGTTTCAAGCAGAATTATCTGTCGAAGATGGCTTGTTATTTATAAACCACCGATTAATAGTCCCGGATAAACTTAGATTCTATATTTTACGGCTTCTTCATGAACCTCATTTTGGTACTGTTAAGACCAAACAACGTGCTAGACAAATTGTATTTTGGCCAGGCATGTCAAGCAACATACAGAATATGATATCTAATTGTTATGTTTGTGAACGTTACCAAAATGCTAAACAAAGGGATTTATTGATTCCACATGAGATACCAAATATACCATTTTATAAAATAGCTTGTGATATAATGGATTATGCAGGTAATAGCTATCTTATTGTACAAGATTATTTCTCGAAATGGCTCGAGATCATTCTATTAAAAAACAAAACCTCATCAGAAATTATTAAACACCTCAAAATATTGTTCGCGACGTTTGGTATTCCCAACACAGTAATTTGTGACAATATGCCTTTTTCTTCCTTTGAATGCAAGAACTTTTCCAAAGAGTGGAATTTCCAGTTTTGCACAAGTTCTCCTAAATATCCACGCAGTAATGGTCAAGCAGAATGTGCAGTTCAAACTTGTGTGTTCAAGAAATGTTCTCACGACAATATTGACCTCGCATTATTGGAGTTTAGAAATACTCCCGTTTCGGGTATTGGTATATCGCCAAGTCAAATGCTCATGAATAGACTAACCAGAACCAAGCTTCCTATTCACACACAATTACTAAAACCCGCAATTCCTAAAGATGCACATAAAAAACTTTTAGCCAAACAGGAATATTTTAAACGAAATCACGATAAAAGAGCCAAAAATTTTAACAAAAACTTGAAAGCAGGTGATAATGTTCTTATAAAAGATCAGTTTTGGGAAAAAGGACAAGTAGTTGGTAATCATTCCACTCCTAGATATTTTAATGTAATTAATAATAAGAACAATGTTGTTAGAAGAAACTTTAGCCAACTAAAACCAACTAATACAAAATTTGAAATTAACAACTCATCAAACTGCTCACATGCTCATGATCAAACTCAAAATATGGATTGTTCTTCTGATAACACCACTGATAATAACTTAGAAACTATTAACAATCAAACCACCATTGAAATTGATTCTACAAATGACCTAATTCCTGATTCTAATATTAAACAAACGGTTACACACAGTGGTCGGATTGTTAAATTACCGAATAAGTTTAAAGATTATTTTATGTAATCTCATAATAATGTTTTGTTTTAAGTTTGTTTTGATTTGTTTGTTTTAGAAAAAAAAGGAAGATGTTGTATTTATGTCAGAGTAGGCATCTATCATGAGAGATTTTCAAATGTAACATTTATTATAAAATGTGTTCTAAGTATTTCTTGTAATTATTCGCAACAAGATACAACAGTTAGAGTTTACGCTATATACCTTCGTTCTATCCCTTCTTAAAGTTTGGTCTTGCGCATTCCCTGCACTTGTTCCCTTCAGAGAAGGTTGTGCCTTAGTCATTTTTCCCTATACCTACGCCATTACTTTTCACTTGACTTATTGTTTACCTGTAAAGGGGGCTTTGTAGTAGATATCATCATATTCATTACGGATAACGCAGAAAAGTACCCTTCTGAGCTCAAAAGGTCGTTACAACCAGAGTTCAAAGTAGTCTTGTTCACGGACAGACACTATTGACGCCCCTATAAAACTTGCATCGCTTTGCTCTGGCGCTTAATAAATTGCGCGAACCTGTTGATCTACTATTGGTACTACTCATAAAAAGAAAATAAAGAGATACTTACGAAAACTAATATCTGCAAAGGATTAATGACGGACGACAATGGAATTTCAATATCGGGATACTCTCCAATTCGATACTTCCGGCACAGCTGCACATTTTTCTCGCTCCGTTTTATTCTCTCCTGTCTCAGTTCTTCTTGCGTAACGGACTTTTTCACTTCCAAATAAGCGAAATGTCGACTGACCTTAGACTTGTCCTTCAAAAATCTCCTACTCCTCACGTGATCCCTTTTAGGAAGTACGACGTTAGGATCTTTGAAAACCGGCGCATCGGTTGCCTCGTCGGTCAAAGTGAAAAGTAAACTACTTGATGCGCGCGCAGGCGCCAGAGTAGGTTGAAACTCCAGCGTTGAAACAGTGGAGCGCAAAACATTATAGTCCATTGTGTGCATCGTAACATCTTGGGAATGGAGCGATGAGGCAAATAATGGCGCCATGGACGCGTGCTGGCGCCTCCAGTTGCTGTTCAAAACGTATTCGTGGAAGTCACAGTCGTACAAGGGGTGTTCGAACAATTTTTCGGAGTACTCCTCCGAAGTTATTATCGAAGTTAGCAATAAATAAGAGCTATAACACACATAGTGCTCCTCAACGCTTGGCTTATACATGGTATTTAGCAAATGAAGGAACATTTTGTCAATTTCCACTGGAAAATGTCCTCTATCTGACCAGAACTGTAGAAGCTTTTCTTGAACCACCAACTCTTTGTCAACCAGACCTTGCAGTAAAACATCCTTCGACAGCTCGGTGAGGTCTTGCGAAAAGGAATTTAACTCTAATTTGTGAGTGCTGTATGTGGTAATGAAAATATCAAACATAATTGTTCGACACAATGTAAATGTGTGGGTGACAAATTTAGAAACGTGCCTCAGAATGTCCAACAGTAAGTTCGCTCGTAGGTAGTTGACCGATTTCTCGATGATTTGTAAGGTCAGCAGTTGAGTTTCTAAATTTTCATCGAGCAATAATGACTGAAAATCTAACGAGGATAACTCATTGATGTTGTGCATTACATCAATGCGCGAAAGAAATATGTTTAGGTAGATGTTTTTAAAATTGCCATGAACATGATTTAGCTTTGACGTTAGTTTGCACAAATACTTATCAGCAATGGGGGCGTAGTGTAGCGCAATTCCTTGAATGCAATAAGCAAACTTGTCGTCATTAGACGACAATTTCGCAATACACTTGTGCAGGTATTCCTTGAACCTTTCGAATGATGCACTGAGGTTGTGATCTTGGCTAACAAAGTTAAGCGACATTCCTAACACTTCGGAACAAGGTTGATACACTGCGCGGTGGTCGTTCCTCAAGACTTTGCAGAGCGCCATTAAAAAATCCTTAAATGCTCCTGTACGCCAGGGCGCAATATTATTGGCTAAAACGGTTGCTGCCAAATGAACGCCTATATCCAATTTTTGCGAATTTTCTGGTAACTGTAGCTTTTCGTATATCACATCATGCGGTATACTTATACAAGTCTTCCATGTCTCAATTATTAATTTGATCAGTTCCAAGTTGTACTTAAAAACACTACGAACATCAGTGTCGCAATTGCGCATTAAGAAACTCAACAATTCGGATGTACGCTCAACATCTTCGGTTGGAAGTGTAATACTTGCCCATGAGGTTAACATAACGACCTACAACAACACTATTTTACAAAAACAAGAGGGAAGAGTAGTTAAATAGGAGAGTTCTGGCACAATGTAAATCTCCATAAGCGCAGTGTATTTCTATGTTGGTTTTCGATGACAAAAACTCACTTTTTGGTCAGGTCGTGATTGCGGTGTTTTTTGTGGGGTTGTCGATTGTGTATGTGGTTGCAAATGTGTTTAGAGGTTTGTGGATGTATGGGGGGGGGGGATTATTGATAAAAGGGGTTGGATGGAAAAATAGAGGGTGTAAACCTCAATAATGTATTTCTTATAGGTGACGTCATTTGCAGTGTTTTTTGTGGGGTTGTTAGGTAGTAGATATGTGGAGGGTAGTTGTGTGTTAAGGGTAGTAAGATTGTGGAATATTTAGGGCTTCTTCCGCAAATTTTGTTGTTGAAAACGCTTAATTAAGGTGCCCTCTAGCCATTTTTTTCAACTTCACGATCGTACCTGGGGGGATTAATAACGCCACGTAACCGTTAGATTCTCTGAAACACGATTCAGTGGTTTTAAGATGCTTTCATTGTTTAAACTGTAATATAAACTTGAAATACGTTATTTGAAATTGATGTCCTATATTATTTAAAAAAGGAAGTATAGTTCTCTAAAAATTCAAGTGGTTCTTATTTGTTTGTAATTCAAACTATAGATATACTTTGTTTCAATAACACTTTATAAATCACATAATTGACGGGTCCGTTAACTTGGCCCCGTTATTTCCGGAAGTGCGTCCATTTTGAAAATATTTTACATCGATTCGGCCTTCGGAGTAACTGATAAATACAAATTTTTAAAAACCTACCTATTTTACTTTCCCAGAATCGTTTAACTAAAGCTCCCAAAAAAACACCCTGTATAGTGATTCTGAAACACTATAATGGCGCCAAGATTTTTGTTTACGGCACATTTTAGCGCATGATGAAAGGTAAATTTTGAAAACGTTAAGTTAGCCCCCCCCACTTTTTAAAAATTTTTTATGGCTTAACCGTAGTGGCGCTAGCTTTAATTCAAGTGGCGCAATTGAGCTCATAACCAGATGTATCAAGTGGCACAAATACCGGTAGCAAAATGCGTTATGGGGGATTCCGCGTTCACTTGCCCCCCCCTCCCCCAATATAATAATAATTATAATAATTTATTTTATTTTTTTTTTGTATATATAAGTGTATATGGTTACAATAACTTTGCAAAAGAAAAATAAAATAATGGTACCCACAAAAGCAGAGCTTGTGCGTGGGGGTTCAAGCATGGTATACACCGAATTGAAACAAAACAAAAAAAAACAAAAAAAAAATAAAATAAAAAATAAACATGGACCAAATGTAAAAATAAAGACTGACTGATGCTCACCCTTTACCCTATATCATATCAATAACAACGCTTATAAAATTCTTTCCTATTTAAAATAAATTTTTTGACACTATTTTTGAAACTATTGAGGGAAGTTTTTCTTTTTATATCCTCAGGCAAAATGTTAAAAAATCTAGATGATAAATAAGAAATAGATTTTTGACCAATCCTTTTTCTGGCTGCACATGTTACTATATTACTCCGGTGACTTAATCTAGTGAAATGCGGATGGCAGATAAAGTTTGCTAAGTGTTTTTCACGGAATTGTTTCATTACTATTTTATAGAAAAAAAGTTGTTTGATGTCGTATACACCCGCCTCTTCGTATAACAAACTAGAAGAATACAAGCGACTCTTTTTATAGATTATTTTAAGAAACCTTTTTTGTAAGACTTCTAACTTGTAGAGTAACGTTCGGTAAGCGCTACCCCATACGACAATTCCGTACGAGATTCGCGACTGAACTAATCCATAATAAATGGTTTTCATTTCCAGTTCACCTAAAAAATTGGATAAGTATTTAAATTTATATAGTAACGGCCGTAAATTGTTCAACACGTGATTAACATGGGTATTCCACTTTAAGTTCGAGTCTACTGCTATTCCCAAATACGTGGTGCTAGTCGCAACCCGAATGTTTATCATACTGCCATGATTATTAATTTGAATGCTGTCAAATGTTGGTAACGATTTAGCATTGCAGGAAAATGGGATTATCACAGTTTTGTCATAATTTATGGTTAATAATTTATGATGAAAACTATCAATAATTTTATTAAAATCATGTTTTACGCAGTTTTCAAGATAGGTCCAAGAAGAGTGATTGTACAACACAACTGTATCATCAGCAAAACTAAATACTTTACCACTAGTGTGAATGTCAAGTATGTTATTAATATAGATATTAAAAAGAATTGGTCCCAGCACAGTGCCTTGAGGAACCCCATATTGCACTACCTCTGTGTTACTCAAACTGTTACCTATTTTGACAATCTGTCGTCTGTTCGCAAGATAAGACTGCATGAGATTAAATGCGACATTTAAGGATAACCAAAAAACAATAATGGCGCAAAGATATCTTTTTACGGCGCATTTCAGCGCATACCTGAGAGTACAATTTCGTATGAAAAGATGTTAAAAAAAAGTAACTTTTAAAAACGTTAAGTTGGCCCCCCCACTTTTTGAAAATTTGTCACGGCTTAACCGTAATGGCGCTAGCTTTAATGCAAGTGGCGCAATTCAGCGCATAACCAAATGTATCAGGTGACCTAGTTACAAGGGACAAAATACGTACGGGGGGGCTACGTTCACTTGGCCCCTCCCCCCAAATGTTTTTTCGGATTTCTAAAAAACGATAATGGCGCAAGTTATTATCGGTGGCGCATATGAGCGCATAACGAGGGCATTGATTTCAAAATAATACGACTATCAAATCTCCCAGTGGGGGGGGGGGGCAAGTTAACGGACCCATAATTGACATAAAACACGTTTTTACTACTAATTAAATCAATCTGAGCAAATAGGAGAAAGAAAATCGTATTAACACTTTTTTGTAAAGAGTAAAAAACATTGCATATTTCTTGAAATAAATTTTAGTTATGGTATAAACGCTTTTAATTGGTTGGAGTGGAAGGGGAGGGGAGAGGCGTCGATTTCTAGGGGCCCATAGGCGCAAAATATGTAGATCCGGCTCTGGTTGCAGTGTTATCGATAATAATCGAATATAATATCGATAGCACAATAAACGGCGAAAGTGTAAAATTATGAGAAGCGGAAAAAAGATGTTTTGCTATAACTGTCTTTGTAAGAGACAGAAAAAATTCCTTCCTTAGCGCAAGCCTCGACGCTATAACGAACCACGAACCAAATGACAGAAAAAGTAGAACAATAGCTCTTAATATAAAAAAACTGAAAGTGACACAGCCGTAAATACGGACGGGCGCACAAAGTGACCGCAGTACCAATTTTTTTATTTTTGTAGAAATTCGCTGACCCTGCGTACGCGCAGTCCATTTTTGAACATAGTTTTTTAATGTTCTTTTACAAGAAGCATCATCTGTTAAAATTTCAGAAAAATTGGTCCATAAATAAAAAAGTTGAATTTACGCATGCGCAATCCATTTTTTAAATAGGGTGAGTTTTAGTATGGGGATCTCGTAAACCGTAAGAGATACAAGGTCGCTTAAATTAGCACATGTCATTTTCAAAAATGAGCTGGCGTTCATTTACTTTCAAAGATATCAAAAAATAGTTTTAACAAACCCTTAGTAATTTATTTTCAGCTTTCTTATGGTGCTAAACTATAATTTTTATCAATTGTGAGTGTCGAGTGAATCGCGTTAACTTTCTTATTTCTATGGACGCCATATTAGATTTTTATGTCATTTGATAGACAAAAAATTACAAAATCAGCGATACTAAACACTTGCCTCGAAGTTTACCATGTATTTCCTATGGCAATAATTCCATGGCTGACTGTGATCAAAATCAAATTCATTCATTTATTGTCTTGCATAGTCACCATATCGACACGGCCATGGAATTATTGCCATAAGAAATACATTGTAAACTTCGAAGTAAAAATGTAAGATTGAATCCCTAATGAAATACTAAGTGTTTAGTATCGCTGTTTTGTAATTTTTTTCTCTATCGAGTGACATAAAAATGCAATATGGCGTCCATAAGAAATTTGATGTGATTTACTCGAAACTCACGTGATAAAAATTTATTTTATTGTTTATAGATTATAGTCTGCATGTAAAATTAATATTAACGAAGAAATAAGATATATTCCATACTTCTAACTAACCCTGTATATAATATTTTTAATTTTATAAGTTTAATGGTTCTATAAGTATTATAAACGCTATTTGAAAGTCGACTAGTAATAATTATTTGAAAAATAATAATGTCCATTGCGCGTTCGCGTATTCCTAAAGTCGCATTATTTACTAAAACTGCTGAAAAAAAAACAAAAGACCATTTCTTTAAAAATTCCTTCTGAAAAACATTGTATTCATTCGATATATGTGATACAATTTTACCAACAACAAAAAAGTTTCTCGCGTGGTGAATTTTGCTCTGCGCGGATAATTAATGCACGATTTTGTGGGCCCTGTTAAATGTACACTTATACCAGTTAAGGCATTATACAGGGGACCCCTCGGATCATCATTCCTTTACCATAAAAGATACCGAAAAAAGTCTGAGAGCAAAATTGTACACATTTACCGTCGCCACATTTCTAAAATATTTTTGATCACCGGGGGCGTGCTATATTCCAGTGGCGTATCAAACTTGCATTTTTTTAAATGGAACACCCCCATATTTTATTTCTGATTTGGAGAGTACTTACTTTTTTATGTAACAGGTTATACCCCTAACTTAACGATTTCGCTCTTATAACCTTTTTTCGTTGAACCTCTTCCAGTCACATAATTTTTTAGGTACTTTATCAAAAAAATAAAATTTTTGATTGACCTTCGCTAAGCGTCATATTTAAAAAAATTTTAAATGGCACCCCCATAAACAAATGATGTGTCTGATGGGTAGCCAAAACCAAATTTTCCACTAATATACCTGAAAATACCAGAAAAAATGCTCTATCAAATAACATAAAAAGTAAAAATGGCTACCATAAGAAAAAACAAAGTTGATGATGGTTAATCGGAGACGAAATGTCGGACTTAAAATTTAAAACTAACATCTTGTAGATGGAAAAAAAGTGGCCATAATAATGTGCCATTTATTTTGAAATATCTTTTTAAATAACTTTGGTAAAAATAAAAAGGTACCCTTTTCAACAACCACCCCCCATACATTTACAACCCCACCAAAAACACCGCAATCAAGACCCGATCAAAAAGTGAGTTTTTGTCATCGAAATCCTCCATAAGAAACACAATGCGCTTATGGAGATTTACATTGTGCCAGAACTCGCCTTGTTTAACTACTGGTAAGACAGACTCACCATATCGTTAATGAAAAAGTTAATGGAGTTTCCAAAAACACAATCAGTAATTGCTTGAATTATCGGACCGTACAAATACTTGGCGAAGTACTTGAAAGTATCTTGGGAGTTGTGAATTACTTTTATTAAAAAGATCTTTACATTCTTATGCACGTCGGACATCAACACATTCCTCACTGCCTTAAGCCATGGAGGCATGGCGACGTCTTCGGTATCCAAGGGTAAAAGACCAATATCGGCCATATGCTGGAATAATCCGCAAACGGACGCCATGCACTCGTGCAAATTGATCTCCACACCTTCCAAAACAACCTCCCGTTCGCAAAAAGCACCACTTTCGGCCTTGGTCGATTGCTCATCGGACTGACTTCTCAGCACGGAATGCGTGAAGTCAAATTTAGTTATATCCTCGCTTAAAGTACTGTTGAATAGGTGCTGCGAAGGCATGTACTTCACCGAAGAGAAGTCGGGGTTGGTTTTCCGTTTTTCATCCGCCATTGAGCGCCGTATGTTAACCACACTCTTCCTTAACGAAGGAATCGTGTCGAAGTCGATTGCGAAATTGTACAGCCGGTCAGTGTCAACAATCTTCGACCAAAGAGTTTCTCGGTTAAAAAGTAAATTGTAAAAGGTCAAATCTGTCTGGGTGTTACTAATTATAGAAATTAAGGCGTTGTAAGCGTGGCACTGATACAAACGGAAGAAGTGTTTGCTTGCATCGTCTACGTTTGTTTCCTTTCCAATTTGTATAATCAGACCTGTGATTGTTTTCAACATTTTCTTTTCGGAAGGGGGAACTTCGGGAAACGCAGCTTTGGAGATGTTACACGAATTATTTTGGAAATTATCTATGGCGATTCTCAAAAACAAAACTTCCATCAGAATGCACAGTATTGTTTTCATAGCCACATTGTCGGTGTCGAAACTAGTGATGAAGAAGCCAATATTGGTAACAAAAAATGATTCGAAAACATCATAATGGCAAGTCTGCAACAAGACTGAAAGTATATCCTTAGCCAACAAGTAGCGCTGGAAATATGTGAATGTCGATGAGTCTGAAGACATTGCGTATACTGAGTTGATGGAATACAGTTGCTCGTCACTCGAATTATGTCGGAAAAATAATTTCAATCCGGTATCAACTTTGATTTCTTGGTTTATGTAGGGTGTAGTAGCGTAAATGGTGGCAACGTACTTTAGTAGAAGTTTTGACTTTGAAGATCTCATGGAATCCACGAGTTTTTTAAACGTTGTAAACAGTAATAGCTTATTTTTCGTACCTCCCTCTTCGTTGTAATAAACATCGTTGATATTTTCCAGAGCGTTACTGAAAATTAATAAATGTTAAGGATAAGGACATTTTGTTAGATATTTTAAATGCCATTCACCATCAAACTGTCAAAAAATTCCTAAGATATGTCAGAAAAATCTCCCGTAAAAAAAAGTACACACTATAGTGTTGAGTAGCATTTTTGATTACGAATTCAACGATAACCCAAAAAAAACAAAAGTTGGAAACTGTTGGTTTCAACAAGATGGTGCACCCGCGCACAATGCCCTAATCGTAAGATACCTATGGGACAAATTTCGTGGAAAATAGAAAACTTGTCCGATAGGTATTTTCTCAAAAAATTCTGAGTGCGAGTGACTCAGACGAGGACTCAGAAGTCCCACTCAAAAGTACGTTTTTTTCTAAATAGTTCATGGGAAAGTCGTTTTTCATACGGCAGTTGTAACGTGAATGGAAAAATGACAAAGAGTCACGTGGAGCGTGGTGTAACGGGTGGTGGCTTTAGAATTAAACGGTACTTCTTTGGAATTTGTATTTTGTTCAAGATACGAAAATTTACACATGTACCGCTTAATAGCGAACGTGAGCAGGGATGTGTCTAGCGATAACACGAAATGTATTGGGGCAAGCGAGCGCGATTGCCACAATCTCTTTGAAACTAAAAGTTTCGTTCCGTTTTATGAGAAGTCCCTTTTCGATTTTCCGAAGTCCTACGATTGTCGCCATGACCAAACCTGGTCACCAAAGCACTCCAACGCCTTTGGAGTTGACTCTGCGTGCAGAGAGGCGATAATTTGGTCACTTGGAGAACTCAAAACAACCGAGTACTTAGTTCAGGTGATCCATAATTAGCTAGTAACTGGATGGGAGCGACATCACCATAGTTGTAAGTGCGGGAGTGCCGCAGGTGTCAATCTTAGGTCCACTGTTGTGGAACATTATCTATAATGGGGTTTTAGAAGTGGTCAACATGGAAGGGGTAAACGTAATAAATATATACATGAATGACGGAGAAGAAATTAACGAAATTCCCCAACAAAACGGTCGCTCTCATGATCACAAGCAAAAGGAGGATAGGCGCAGAAACCAACAAAATTTCTAAACCAACCAGTAGCACAACCATTTATTGAAATACTGGGCGTCCTATTAGAGAAGCCTGACGTAAATGATGCGGAAAAGCGTTGAGGAGTTACACAGCGATAAATTCCATACTGGAGGATCCAAATGGAAGATTCTAATCAATGCCGTTGTATAATAGTATAGATTATTATTATGTAAAAAGTATCAAGTAACTTATGTCTTGATGTTGTCATAATAATGTAATGACTTGCCAGAAATAAATTATATTTAATTACAATAATTACCAAGTAATACATGGTGTCAGGTAGCCAGTGAACCTGCGTAGTGAAGGCGTGTATATGAATAGTAATTTTCAAGCTTGATTTTAGTCCGAGATTTTGCTTGACCTTGAAAAAAAGTGCCGCTTATAGTGCCAAAATGGAAAACTATTTCAAACCACCCGACCCGCTTGTCTTAGATGGAAATATATCTGAGAATTGGAAGAGGCTTTCTCAGAAGTTTACGTTGTTTTCAAAGGCAACAAACCTAGACAGTAAAGATGAGGATGTGCAGATCGCATGTTTTTTGTCGTTAATTGGAGATGACGGACTGGATTTGTTTAATAGTTTGACGTTTGAGGCAGGCAAAGAAAAGATCCTAGCGGAAATCCAGAAGAAATTTGATGACCAGTGTGCGCCACAGCGAAATGTCATATTTGAAAGGGCAAAATTTACCACAATATGTCAAAAGGAGGGACAATCGTTCGATAGTTTTTTGACGGAACTTAGGAAAGCTGTCAAAACTACCGGATAGAAAGATCAGGATGAAATGATTCGTGATAGAATTGTTATAGGATTGAGAGAGACGTCTAGTAAGGAGAGATTAATGCAAGTAGCTGACCTGGGGGTCGATTTTTGAAACCAGTCGCATCTATTCGTATACGCTTAGATGTGAAGACTTAAAAACGTATACGTTTTCCAAATGCAATTTTTGACTACTGTTCGTAACTGCCTGGAACCGAAACGTACAGTGCATATGACAACGTCGCCTTTATTGATCGATTAGAACTAAAACGGACTATTTGACGTTTGGGTTTGAGCTTAGGTGGTGAGGTGAAGATATTGCTCAGTCATTTCAAATTAGAGAATAATAATATTTTATAGGCACTGATTTACATGAATACTGAAAACACGATGGACACGCCAAAGCGAGGGTGCAATACCACGCAAAACCAAAAAGGGTGGCTAGTAGAGTTTGCTAAAAACCACCCCGATATAATAGCAGGGAAACAAACTATGACTCTGACGTGCAAGAAAATGCAAGACTCATGGAAAGAAGTAGCTGATACATTTTGATAAATTGTGCTTCATTTAAGACTTCTATGGGGTTGCAAGGATTACGGTTCCTATTCGGGCGATAATTGCGTTCGGCATTCTCTAAATTGTCTATTACAAACACATTCACAGCTTCATCCATTGTTGTTAGTAGATACCTTTCAAGTCTCAAGAGTCAAAACTTCAACACTAACCAATACATAACCCACAAAACGTCAGTTGCGAGCGTTTGCGAACGCCATTTACCCGCTCGCAGAAAAACGAACACAATTGAACGTATACGCAATATAAACGTATGGTCAAAAATTGAAAATATACGTTTCTTTACGAATACGTATACGTTTTAAGGAAACGTACGGCCAAAAATCGGCCCCCTGACGTTAACAAAAGCAATTAATTTCTGCAGAGCGACAGAAACGAGCAAAGATCAAGTGAAAATCCTAGATAATGAATCTAAAGTAGATGCTGTACGAGCCACTACTACTTTAGGTAATCAGAAGAAAACGTGTAAAATGTGTGAATACTGGCACAGGGGCGGACTGGCACGGGGGGGGGGGGGGCGATTGCCACCTGGCCTGTAGATCATAATGGCCCGTTGTAAATTTATAAGTATGTGCTGTATTTTCTTGCACTATTAATAAATTATTAACACGTTTTTCTAATTGCCCCCCCCCCCGGCACCAGTAATACTTTAATGGCTTAATGGCCCGTAAGTCCCCAGTCCGCCCCTGTGTAGGTATAACCTTTTCTTTTCAATTTCGAAAAAAAATTCAAAGGGCTGTAACTTTTGAACTAGTAGCCCAATCTTGGAACTGTTTGAAATTATGGATTCTACAGGCCACATTCTATAAGAAAATTTTTTTTTCCGGGTCGATCTGAGACAATTTTTTTTCGGGCCTCAAAAAAAGGCAGTGTATAACCTTCCTTTTTTACCAAAAATCGACTGCACCAAAATTTCTCGGGAAAGCACTTTTTCTTATTAACTTTGGTGCGTAGACTCCAAAACAATTCGAACTTTTTCGATTAGACTTCTCAAAAAAAAGTTATGGACTAGAAACCAATTTCGAAAGAAAATTCAAAGGGCTGTAACTTTTGAACTAGTACCCCAATCTTGGAACTGTTTGAAATTATGGATTCTACAGGCCACATTCTATAAGAAAATTTTTTTTCCGGGTCGATCTGAGACAATTTTTATTTCGGGGTTCAAAAAAAAAAAAAACCTTCCTTTTTTACCAAAAATCGACTACACCAAAATTTCTCGGGAAAACACTTTTTCTTATTAATTTGGGCGTAGAATCCAAATCAATTCATACTTTTTTTTTTTAACGCAAACTATTTAGACAAGAAACATAGGAGGCCGCCGTTGCTATGATACTCGCTGACATTTGTTAAAATTACAAAGTACGTATTAAGTTCATCTCGCTGTGTTTTGTGTAATTTGTGTGCTTGAACGATGGAAATGGACAGTGATGCGAGTTTTTCATGCACCCCCGACGAAATTGTGAACGCGGCAGGTATCGCCACCTCCAATCTGTTACCCGAAAAGTCCAAGGACCAATATTTGAAGGAATATGATTTATTTATGAAATGGAGAACCGAAAAACACGTTGGAAATTTTAGTGAAAGGGTGTTATTATGTTATTTGGAAGAAAAATCAAAACAATGGAAGCCGCCAACACTTTGGTCGACCTATTCTAAACTAAAGGCTACACTGTTAATCAATAATAATGTAGATATACGGAAATACTCAAGTCAAGTCGGTTTATTAATAAAAAAACTATTTATAATAGTTATTTACAAGTCAACGTACCTATCAATAGGGTTCTAAAAAATTATTATTATTATTATTTCCAAGCTAAAAAATTCTTTAACCTTCTACCAAAGAGTATCCAATCATATGATACAAAAAAACTAAAAGTAACTCTTAAACGATACCTAACATTAAAAGCATATTTTTCCACACAAGAATTTGTAAGTGAAGGCTTTAGAGAATCAGAGTGATTGTAAATTTAAATTGACTATTGTATTAAGTAAATAAATATAAGTACATTACATATGTTATTTAACTAGATAAAACTTGACGAATGTAAGCGCTACTGTGCAAAACATGAAAAATATATTATTATTATTATTATTATTATTATCAAAAGTTATAGACTAGAAACCACTTTCGAAAAAAAATTCAAAGGGCTGTAACTTTTGAACTAGTAGCCCGATCTTGGAACTGTTTGAAATTATGGATTCTACAGGCCACATTCTATAAGAAAATTTTTTTTCCGGGTCGATCTGAGACAATGTTTTTTTCGGGGCTCAAAAGAAGGCAGTGTATAACCAGGGGCGCACTGGCCCGGGGGGGGGGGGGCGGGTGGCGATTGCCACCTGGCCTGTAGATCATAATGGCCCGTTGGAAATTTATAAGTATGTGCTGTATTTAGTTTCTTGCACTATTAATAAATATATTAACACATTTCTCTAATTGGGGTTGATGTTAGGTTGTTAAAAAATTCTGTTTTTTAATTGAAATTTTTTGTCGTAGCATGAAAGTGCTGAAATACAATGATAGGCGACGCACCTCGTGTGGATTGTATATTTTGTTACTTTTAATTATCAGCTGCAATTTAAAAAAAACTGTATTGTAATTGATTTTCGAGAAAGGAGTACTTTAAAATGTTTTTGTGGTGCACCTCAGAGCTAACCCCCCCCCCCCGCCACCATCATTACTACAGTAATACTTTAATGGCCCGTAACCTTATGCAATTCCACCTGGCCCGCAGTTACCCAGTCCGCCCCTGGGCACAAATTCCCCAATAGGTGTTCAAGTATAGGAAAAACATGTGCCAAATGTCAAGGTCGCGATCATTTTGCCAAAGTGTGTTCTAGTACGAGTGGAAAAAGAGATCCTGATCCTCCCACAAGTAAGAAATATACATAATGTGTTGAAGGAAACTCAACAGAAGAATACAGAATCCGATACCAGTAGTGAAACCAGTAGAATTTGTGTTCTACGTAAGCTCAGTGTCCGGAAGGAAATCAGAACTCCAGAACTCCGAAACAATGTGGACGAAAGAAGTGCTAGTTAACTAGTTAAAGTTAACCTGTTGTTTTTAAATTTTAAATTAGATACCGGGGCAGAGGTAAGCACATTACCTTTAAGTATTCTGAAGAAAGTTGCACCAAATTCCGTTCTTAAGAAGAGTAATATTACGTTGATATCATATGGCGACCCGAACTTTAAATTGAAAACTTTAGATGAAGTTCAACTAGATTGTGTTGCAAAAAACTGTCACCAACAAGTAACATTTATAGTGGGTGAAGGCTGCAGATCAAATTCCTCTTCTGGGAGTGCAAGAATGTTCAGACTTACAGTTACTAAAAAGACTAGATTCAGTAACAAATCAAAAGTTGTTTAGATCTATGTGATTAGTAAGTATAAGCATGTTTTTGAAGGGTTAGGAAAGTTTCCTACACAACATCACATAACTTTGAAAGAAAATGCTAAGCCTAAAATAAATGCAATTAGGCGTGTCCCACATATTTTGTTAAAACCACTACAGAATAAGTTGTGTGATCTTGTGTCCAAGGATCTAAACTAATTCCAACTCAATCTTTAGATAATTAAATCCGTCCATAATGGCGGAGTGTTAATCAAGGCAACCATTAATTAATTTTCATTGGTTAAAGCTGTGTTTTCAACCAATCCCGAACGGCTTTAAGGCTGTTAACCAATCCCATTTCTTTTCCAGAACAATTTCACTCAAGAGTTTCCATGGTGAATTTATCTTTATAATAAACTAAGGCTATTTGATCGAGCACGCAGACGCTCTACTGACAAACAAAAAAAAAGACTACCTAGCTAAACAATTTTGTCTAGTTTTGTTAATAATTTAAGTATTGTAAAAACTACAAAACAATTGAAGACACATTTTGACAGTAATGGCACTTCACAAATGACAAACAGTGATACTTACCCCAGTTCCGTAAAATGTAAATCATGATGCCCAATGACTATAGGTAAAATATTGATAACTTCCGAAACAAAATTTAAAGAATCTTCTTCAGTCCACCCGTCATTTGTGTAGCTGAACAACCCGATCACCCATAAACTAATACTGGACGCATTTTTTATCAAGTCACTTAACGGCACCTGACTGATATCGCCCAATTTGGCCAAAAATTCGATACCCAACAATATTTGCTTACAGCTTCCATTAAAATATGTAACTAATCCGTTCCATAACTGCAAGGAAGACTCGACCACGTCTTGTAATACGTCTCGTGAAAATTGTTTACGATTATGCCGTATATAGCGCAGAATCTCGAAGACGTATGTAAATAAAGACTCGTTTATGTTCGTTTGAGACATTTCGCTGAGAAATACAGCGTAATTGTTCACAAGATATTTAAGTAACGAGTCTTTAAATTTTTCAAAAAAGTAATACCCGTACTTAATCTCCTTCTGTTGATCGGTAATAATCATAGTCTCAACACATAACAGCTGGCACATCTTGACAAACTCATCTTTATTGTCCAAAGCGAACTGCAACTTCAGATGACAGTACTCGGTGGCGCTTTTGTGCAGATCTTTGGCATAAATTTTGCCATCTCTATGCACGATTAATTCGTCGTGAATGTTTTGAAGTATACCCGAACTGTAAGAGTCCACATTCAATTTGTCCTTCATCCGAGTACCTTTAATGGTCATAAGTCCCTTAATTAACTGCCTTTCTTTAAAGGGTACAATGCCGGACCCAAGCTTGTTCGTGATGTTAAATTTATTGACATGACTCTGAAAGCCCGTTTGTAAACACGAAATAACATTCTCAGGGGCGTGGTCGCTGAGGTTATTCAAAAAAATCGAAACGTCTTCAGAATTTTCCATCTGATCAAATCCGAGTACAACCGGATCGAAAATCCGAAGACAAACTAAATTCCACAAACTGTGTTCGGGCAAGAAATTCACTCCAATGGCAAAAGGTTCCGCACGACTTTTAAAAATGGTCACAATCAAGTCCATCAACTTTGTCACAATTAAGGATTTGCAGTGGTTAAAATATTTCCTTTCTTCAGCCGTGTAGATGCTATTGGAACAGTTCAACCTCACAACTTCTCCAATATTTTTTTCCAAGACATGATCGAGAAAAAAGTCCACCGATGTAAATAGCGGAGCGGCGTCTTTTGGCATGAGATTGTTGGCCAAAAGGAAAATGTAACCGTCGAGACAACACAAAAGACCGTGACACCATTTAAATATTCCATCAGTCGTATTTGAACTGCCTAAGTGGTTTATCGTTGGGTACTTCATTAGTTCGGTCTCGTACGTCGAATTAATCCACTCGGTACCAGTAATGTACAATTCTTTGAACCTGTTCAAGCTGTTATGGCAGCCGGTTGATAATGGGGCAATTTTACAAAACATATCCATACATTTCTTTCGACAGTTGATGTTGATATTGCCGGTTTCTTTTAAAAGCCACATGGCGACGTCCTTCAATAGAATGCCATCCATAACCGGAGGTTTCCTTCTCGTGTTGGAATTCGCGTTGAACAGCGCGCTTTTTTCAACAAATCCTCTTTGTACATGATTTAACGCGATCAATACTTGTTCGACACAATTGTTATCATCCGCATTACGTATTTGCGTTAGCGATAAGTTGGTAACAAAAGCTTCCAGTATTTCCAACCAAAACATGTTAAACATCTCCTTTTCTTCTCTTAAATCCGTGTAGATATGGTTAAATATCAGCGCCGCGCCCAATCTTTTAAATGGATCGGGATGAGCACTTAAAGATTGGATATTTCGGATCCAAATTTTGATATTGATCGGATTTCGTTCCAAATCCCTCGTTTTCGCTTGCTTGATTGTCCATTTAATAAATTCTTGAATACACTTCCCAGATAAGTCTCGTAAGGCGGAATCGGACGGATTGGTAATGGATTCCTAAAATGACATAATTGATGTTATAATCAAAACAATTGAACATATATAAATTGAAAGCTTCCCCAAATTTAATTAAATTCTATTAACATATACTGCTATGTCCAAAGGCAAACAGTTCTAAACCACACACAAGCACCAGTCGATTAAACACAAGTAGGTACTAACAAAATCGTTTGTACGAAATGATTATAATTTATTGTTGCGCTTTCCTGCATTTGTTTTCCCGTAGATACCGCTAACTAATTTGTGTTTTGTTGCTTTCATTCCCGCTAGTCTCGCGTAATTTTGTTTTAGTTTTTCCGAAGTGACCGCCGTCGTTTACTCTGATTAAGTTTTCCCGAGGCTTCAGAGACCGTCCCGCAGACCTTGATCAGAAACAAGGCCGTAGACCTTGGTAGACCTGGAGCTGCAGGATGTGCTGTTGTAATTACTCTCAGGTGTTCGACAATCTTCCATCCCCACTTCAGCGGGTTCTTCTTCTCATTCAGCTACTGCTACACCTGATGGTAGGTTCTAAATGAATGTTCTGCCTGGTAGATGCTGAAGTGGGGAGAAGGGGGGCCAACTTGAACAGTGAATGTATAGGATGCTTTGAAGTAGCCTGCAAGTATCACTGGTAACGAAAACAATCCAGATCTTCAGTGTTTTTGACTTCAAACATAATTTCATTTTTCCGGAAAATCGAAAAAATACGAAAAATGTCTACTTTTCCACCCTTCGTAACTCGTTACGGAATCATTCACTTTAGCAAGATTATACACAAGACCATTTTTGTTCGCAAGATAATGTAGAATACTTTTGTACATGGCACTTCTCGCGCTAAATCCCACAGTGTTCTAAATATCTAAGAAAAACTGATAAAAACTCCTAATTTACCAACTTTCCTCCCCCCTCCCATCCAAACCCGACGCTTCAAATGGTGTAACTTTTTACCAAACAGTATGTGGACTGTATAGAACAATTTGCAGTTTTGCACTTTGGATGTTGAGGTTAAGCCGTTTTTTCGACTAATTGCACCGTACTATAATGCTTACCTATTTTTTTTATGCCATTTGTGGGCGGACTTACTACCGAAGTTCGTCGCACTTTAGCGAGTACTGAGAAGGACTACACATAAGTGATACCTATTTAATAAACACAACACTCTAGCCAGGACTCTAGCTAAACTTCGTCGTAAACGGAAAAAAACACGCTTCCACTTAACTCGATTTAAAACGTTTACTTTTAATTAAGTACGGGATAAACTCACTTTCGCCAACTTCTAGAAACCTTTACAACTGTAAAGACGGACTGTCTGCCAATAAATGCGGTAAAACTGCACAAGACAATAAGCGGCTACCAAAAAGCAACGTCCACCACCAAATAAGCCGCGATTCATGTCTTTCTCTGCTATTTGCAACATTCTTTCCTCTCAGTTTCCGCCGAATTTGCGTCTTCGAAATTAAACACGTGTTTTCTTATCGGATAAACCTTCAAACTAATTAGCTTACGCGGCGATAACACATTTCTTATCGCAACGACCGGATTTAAATGAGATAACAAATTTTTATTTCCAAATGACGGACAGACAGAAGCTCTAAGTCAGACGCCAAATGCTCTCTTGTCAGGGAAGAAGTGAGTCAATTAATATTTTAAGATTTCAGCACCGTTAATTAATTATTAAGCATTTTAGATTTCCATAATAAGCGAAAACCAAGATAGAAACGAGTTCCAAATGGAGTTGTTTACACGTTATCAGTCTTGCAGACATGCCGGGGTGTAGATAGCGACAACAGTTGTTGCGTCGGGAAATTACAATCAGGCCTAGTGGTTAATTGGATTAATGCGTATTGAAGTTTGAATTCGCTTAATTGTAGAAAAGAACTGCAGATAGCGTTCAAAGTGATCTCACTTAAAAAACGAGAAGTCCGATGTCCATCTTATATTTTTCCGATAATTGCAGGCCGGGTAATTAATTAAAAACCGAATTAATTTCGAAGTGAATAGCTCTAGGAATAGCTCGACGATATTTCCATGTTCCGCTTCCATTAAATTCGGTTTTCTTTATAAGGTGCGCACTTGATTTTGTGGATATATTTTGCCATTTTGTGTGCCATAAATTATATCGTTTCTTCTTCTGCATTTTGTAATTGTATCAAAATTTTAAATTTGCTTTTGCCACCGTAATGTATTGCCTTAGTTTTAAATACCGTAGTATTAATTTCGATCGTGCCTGAAAATTCTTTTTTTTTCATCCGTATTGTTTTGTTTTGTTTGAACATTGAATTGCCCGATTTGTTAGATTTTGGCAGTTTTTCTACCGCTTCGTGAGCTACGTTCTCCTAATTATGAAGGGGGGGGGGGGATTACTCGCTTTCCTCCACCCACTCAACCGTTGTGCGCGAGCCCAAAGTTCGTCGCAATTGTTTGGATTATAAAAAAAACTCTAAGTAAGTTAATATTTATTATATTCTTTGTCGCCCGCGTACGTGCGGGGTAATAACGGGCGATCTTTTTGATCGCAAACTCATTCAAGTTAAGTACGATTTGCCATGTAAACAAAAATTCCAAAGTACTTACCTCCTTTACTAACCTGCGGGTGGTAAAAATCAATTTTTTTTTCTTTCAAGAATTTTTTTAAATTTTTTTTTTCATTGTCCATTACCTATACCAGTAGTACCGTTTTTTAAGCAATAGAATTATGTCTGATAAGACTAAATCATAATAAATCATGGAGTAGTCCTAGAAGAAGCACCTTGAAAAAAACACCAATGTGTGCATATTGTGGTATTAATTTACGTAGTCTAATTTTTGCTTATAGCCGCATTGTAATTTGTTTATTTAATTGTAAAGAAATAACATGTTATAAGATAAGAAATATCTCGAAATTATTTGCGTAATGTTTAAATAGTTTATCTCATGTTTTTCTCCGATCGTGGATAAGCGTTGCGCTTATCGCTAAAATTAATTAATTTTGTAAACAGATATTATCGCAGGTGCGCGCTTTAGATAAGAGCATTTTTGCAGGTCCCACAAGCTAGCAGAGCCATTTTAGAAAAATGAAGGTCGAAATACATCAGAATTATAGGCAGATTATAGGACCTTTTTGGACACTTGAACAAATTTTCAGGCGGCAACCTTTAAAGAAAAAAACTATGGCTCTGCTGGCTAAAGACGAAGCTAGCTGACCACTTGTGAGATTTGCTTCGAAGGCGAAAAATTCAGATCACAAAATTATAGGCTTTTTTTAGACACTACAACAAATTTTCAGGCGACGCCCTTTAAACAAAAAAAACTATCATCCAGATCAGTTTGATTTTGCCCCTCTCGGAGATGTAGTGGATAAATAAAAATTTATTTATTGTCTATTTATTGTCCCTCTCTTGTTCTGGGCCCTCAACGGGCTTTCGCCCAATTAATATATTTATTTAAACTCTAACTTATATTTCAAAAATCCGATACAACTGAATACCAAACAATCCTCGAGATCTTCACACATACATCATTTTTACAATACACCCTAAGGCAGGGGTGCTCACACTTGAACTGCTGACGATCTACCTGAATGTTGTTAGACTCCGATCGATCGACTCTGAGAGGATGCAAGTATGTGTGAAGCAGGATTGTTGTCTACATAGGTATGGCGTATCGTGGCGCAATTTGCAGAATTTCATGAAAATACTGTACATAGAATTAGTTAATTAGTGGAAACGGCAGAATTTAGTTTTCCGCAAAATCAATTTTCTTTAAGTCAAGGTAGGTGTAGATCTACTCTGCAAATCGCAAATGTTTCTCGAGATCGACTCAAAAAGTACTCGAGATCGGCCGGTCGGTCGCGATCGACCGTTTGAGCACCACTGCCCTAAGGGGTTGATTCTGTCCCACCTGATCTGATAGCTTGTAACACACATTTTTTGAAATGGCATTAGTTTTACTTTTATTTGAGGTGCCTGCATACAACATTTCATTTAAATACCTTAACAAATAAAAGAAATCCGACTGCGCATGCGCAAAACAAATTTTTTGATTTGGCATTAGTTTCACTTTTATTGGAGGTGCCTAGATACAGAATTTCATTTAAATATATTAACAAAAAAAAATTAGAATTGCGCAAATACAAAAGTTGTTATGCGCATGTGCAGTATTTGTTTGCATTTGCATAGTTGCCTGAAGTTTAAGGAATATTTACTAACACAGAAAACCGGACATTCATATGTTCTTTGTAACAAGAGTTAGAAACCCTTTTTGGAGGTTTGCGCAGTTTTTGGTCTGTAACTATTTGGCCCGTTGTTCTACGTAGCCGAAAAACAATTGTGAACTTTGTTATATCCTGAAAAACATGTGTATATCAATTTTTAAAGCGATCGGACGTTTCTACACAAAGTTATCGTACACCCTGACAGACAGACAGACGCACAGGCAGGCAGCAATACAAAATTATAAACGATCTCGAGGTTCGCTAATAATATAAAGAGATGAATAATTTTAATTTTTTTCTGTACTTCTTTTCAATTCAGGAATATCGTGTAAACTTTTCTTCTCCTATAATACAAGAGAAGATGCATAGACAACTCAAGACACTTTTAACATACTTTTTTTAAAACCTGAAACACAACAACTTGCTATATATTTGATTTATTAGTAAAAGAAAATTCAAATTTCAAATACCTACTTGACAGATGTCTCCAAACAGGTGGAACAATCCCTAACATTAAAGTTACTAGAATCTGGTAACTTCCGCAATTTTTGAGCAAAAAACAGGCGTTCTCTCTCTAACACACGGGCCCAATGGATTGCGGTACTTTCTATATTTAGTGACTTATAATGGATCTACAGTGACCTACTGTATAGAGGCAGTTTGGTCATACTTTGGTGTTGTTTTTCTATTGGTATGTGGGATATCCGCCATATTTTAACCAAATAAATCGGGTTGGCGGAAATTAACTTGGAAGATCAAGTCACAAACAGTTGTGGCAATAATATTGTAACCATAGAAAGATGCCAAGATCTACCAATTCAATTAAACCGATCAGCTTAATGAAGAATATGGGAAAAACATGGCGGATATAGAGCATATGACCACACTGTCTTTATACAGTCACTGTTAATGGATCGATATTAATTACAAGGCAAAAATTTTGCGCATGCGCATAGCGTATCGCACATGTGATCAGCTAGCTTCTTCTTTAGCCAGCAAAATAATAGTTTTTTTTTGTTTAAAGGATGCCGCCTGAAAATTTGTTAAAGTGTCCAAAAAGGGCCTATAATCAGCCTATAATTCTGATGTATTTCGTACTTCATTTTTCTAAAATGGCTCTGCTGGCTTGTGGGATCTCATTTTTGCGTCTGTTAACTAAACAATTAGTAAATGAAATCGAAGATGGGACAAGAGAAGGAAATGTGTTACATATGTGTTGTAATGAGGCTTTTGTCGATCGACTTTATTTGTTTTGAGCTAGCTGGAAAGCTGTGTTGTGGGTGGCTTAGTGATCGTTTGCCATTGCTTACAGCATGCACCATTTGAGCATTCGGAGAAATGGCGATTTGTGGATTGTTTACTTAGATCTACGATCCATAACGACTGATATTTAATTTATTATTAAACACAATTTCATTTATTTAAAAAATAGTCAAACGTTCAACATACTTACCGTTAAAGTTTCAATAATTATTTCAGTATGCGACATATTCATTTGACGAGGATGCGAGTAATAGTGCATCATTTGAACAGCTAGCGAGGAAAACAGCTGCGCAACTACTTCGTCCGAGTCACAACCTAGTTTTAACACAGGCTCCGCAACACTTCTTACTAAATAATCGACGTCCTTCTTCTTCTTGTCATCCATCGGATGACCTTAAAAGTGAGACAATTAGCTGCGTTACCACAAGCAATTCACTTACTTGATCCTAACAAAATCAGGACAACGGCGTGTAATAACTCGCATGCCGCTAAACGCATCTTACGGTCACTCGAATATAGGGACAGCTCGACGATTCTCGGTACGAATTTATCGAAGTACAGCGTTAACTTGTTATTGTAAGGAAGGTGTACTTTCAAAGAGGGAGCTTTGTTCCATACGACTGGTTTAGGGTTATCCTTCGGGTTAATAAACGCCATGCATAAATTGGTATTAAGTTGCCCGATTAAAGTAATAATTTTCGTTTGTAGTTTAAATAGTTCCAATTCTGTTTGTACCAAGACCTTCCTTTTGCTAAGCGCCTTCTTTGTTTTCCGGTGCTTTACTACCAAGTTAGATTCTAAGCCTCCTCCCAAAGACCTACTTTTTAAATAAGAATCTAAACAAGGCAAAACCTCCGCCAAAAAGGGCTCGATTTCGATCGCAGGTAAGCTCTTATACCACCTCAGTAAGACATCGACCCCCAAGCCTGCAATGTGCAAGTAACTACGGCCGACCGAAAACAAGACGACAAACGCGGGAACTGCTCTGGGAAGTATTTCCTTTACTATACCAATGGGAGTAGTGAGAAGTACATTCAGGCAAGCAATTTGTAAGTCTCCCTTATACTGTTTCATTTTCCAAAGCATATCTTCGACGAATTGCAGAATGGAATTGTAGCTCATCCTCACATCCTCCATTTCCAACTGGGTCTCATTAAAGTAGTTGAGTTTGTCACAAATTTGTAAACACGAAGTTAGTAGCTTGTAGAAGCCGCTCACGAGAGGATACTGGAGTGACTTATAAATAATCTGATTAACACACTGACTAATCCAACCCTTAAAAATCTCGGGGCTCACGTTGCGTAGGATATCTTGATAAAAATCCACAACGTTAACGAAAACGACAAAGTCACTAGTTTGCAGGGCTTCGAATGCCGATTCTGGATCGGTGACTGGATTATCGGGGTTTTTTAGTTTAGTTTTGAGGTTTAATTTATTGATAAGCACAAAGAGCGTCTTCACGAGTGCGTTGGTTAGTTTTTTGAGGAGATGTTTCCGCTTCGTTAAATCAATCGCGTATTTTTCGTACCTGGTCAAATTCATAACCCCGAGCATACCGTTCCAAAATGGAAGGTAATTCTTATAAGTGATTGCTTCACGATTGGTATCCTTCAACTGTTCCGCGTCCGAAAAAATCTGATGTGAGCAAGTCCATATCACGCCCTGATAGATGATTTCTTCAAGAAACGATTCGAGAACATTTTTTTCGCATTGCAACAGTTGGTGGAACATAACGATGAAGGCGTCCACGACTAAGTAATGCTGCAAAGTCGATAACTGTGGGAACACTTTAATTAGCACGACTGATATTAGTTGAAGACTGACAATGTGACTGTTGTTCAATTCGGGCAAATTGGTAATGATAAAGGATAAGGTTTGCACGTAATGTGGCAAGTACGCAATTTGATCAGGACTCAAATCCTCGGTTAATATGTAGGTATTCTCCAATATTTGTGAAATGGTAACGAAGATGTGGTTGATTTCCACTGCAGAAATATGCAAGCGAAAACAACAGGCAAACAGGCCCAATCCGCGGATTGCCAACTGCATTTGGTAGTTATCCACGGTACCTTCGAAGATAACCTTGTTAAAGTAGGTAAGAAAATATTGAAACAGCTCCTGGTCTTCCCGAGCACTGAGCACGTTCGCGATTTCCTGGAGAAACGACTCCAAAACATTATACGCGGACTTCTTGTCTTCGGCTCCAAGATTGAACCAATTCAAGAATGACGTGTGCCAGAACTTCGCTTCCGGATAAACGTACTGAGAGAACAGTACCACGTGCTTAGCCAAAAGTGACGAAGATTCTAAAACTCAAAGATTATCATCGACTACTTCAGACCCGGGGGACAAACCTCTAAATGCTATTTTTCTGTGTGCGCCACCGGGATCCGCTAACATCTTAAGACAGCTGTAGATCTTGAGAAAAACCGCATCACTATTCTGACTGTTGAACCCGAAATTTTCCAAAAAGTTCGATAGCGCAGCAACGCAACCGTGTATAATCGGCATTGATTTGTTTGTAGTTTGCAGCTCTCTATTCAGGAGATTTACTAGGGTATTTCCTAATTCGTTTGCGTTCGAAATGGCTGATGGAAATTTTTTTGTTACTGCTCCAATTACTATCAAAAGCTCTTCTTGAACTAAAAGAAAAACAAATTATGAGAACCGCGACTTGAAAGCAGAATTAATGATATTTGATTTTGTTTAAATAATTGTTTTGGTAATTGTAAAGATTTTACGTATTAATTTTTTTAAAGTGTCATCTCCGGTCGTTTGCGATAAGAGTCCTTGCGTAAGCTAATTAGTTTCAAGATAGGCACGTGTTATCGCAGGTGTTTTTTCCAAATAAGCAAACACAGGTGTTTAATTTATACCAAGACGCACTAACTTGTTAAGGAAGTGAATTACTTTGAATAGAAGAGACGAACGTTAATCGTGGCTTTTTTTATGGTGGACATTAAATCGTAGCCGTTTGTTTAGGTGTTTGGCGTACTGCCGTTAAAGGAAGTTTTTCCATCACCAAAGAACCAAATTTTACATCTGAAAAACTTGAAAATCGCAGTAATGATCAGAGATTCTTTAATTGTTCTATCAATCGCTTGTTGCGTGGTATGCGTAATTCTGGCCATGAATGTCGGTTTTTCTTTCAGATTATTTTGTGCCGAATAAATTTGTTTATCTGGAAATGGTCGGTTTTGTGAATAAACGAGCCCAAATTACAACCTAAATAATAGTTTTCAAGTTAAGTTTTTCTATTTGGTACACGAAATTAAATCAGGTGTTAATTAAAAATCTGTTAATTAATTCTTTGGACCATTAGAGGTTGTTACTTCCTCAAATTAATAAAATTTACATTAGTAGGTATACAACGCCGAACCTAGACCAGTACTAAGTCGATCGCCGCTTTGTTCTAAAGTGGAAGAAGGTGAAGGTCACGTGTCATGTTGCGATGGCCTTGGAAAGGGAAAGCTTTGGTTATAGTATTTAATGTTTTGGGGTGTCAAATTACATTTCTAAGGTCAATGCCTCCATTTTGTGGTCAAATTATATTTTCAAGGTCATCCAAAGGCAAAGAACACATTCTTTATGACTTTAAATTACATCTTCAAGGTCATCCAAGGCGATGGCCTTGGAAAGGGAAAGCTTTGGTTATAGTATATAATGTTTTGGGGTGTCAAATTACATTTCTAAGGTCAATGCCTCCATTTCTGTGGTCAAATTATATTTTCAAGGTCATCCAAAGGCAAAGAACACATTCTTTATGACTTTAAATTACATCTTCAAGGTCATCCAAGGCGAATTACTCAAATTTGTGGTGCCAAATTAAATTTCCGAGGCTACCCAAGTTCAATGAACCCATTATGGAGTTAAATTACATTTTCAAGATCATCCAAAATCAATGATTCCTATTTTTGTGGTGGCAAACTACATTCCTAAGGTCATGCAAGGTCAATGACCAGATTTTTGCAGCCCCACTATATTTCAAGGTCATCCAAAAGCGTTATGAAAATTTCTGTCAGATGTCCGTTTACGTACTTACGAATCTTAGTGCTAGATTAGATGCTCTACTAATGAACCAGATACGTATCTGTCGATAAATTTTTAACTTAACGAGATCATATTTATTAATCGATTTTTTCCTGCCGCAAGATCTAGTTAATAAATTTGGCAAAATTACTATCGACACAGCAAAACATGGGAGAGGTCGATCTTGCATTCATCTGTTCTTTCCCAAAAACTATGACAACGTAATACAGGGGGGGTCTGAGGGGTATAGAATGACCGTATGGAAAAATTGGTTTACTTATTTCCAGAGACCAAAGAGAATGAATCATCAAATTGTCCTTTGCTAAGAGCACTCTATACTGGGGGACGTATTCCATACACACAACCATCAGATATGAAATTTTGCAAATCATGTGCATCAAATGGTTATGAAATATTTTTTTTAACAGACAAATGTTGCCTAAAAAATAAATTACTAGCAACTACCTGAATATCCTTTGCTATAATGTCGTACACCTTCTTCTGTAGGAGTTCTTGGATTCGTTAGTACATTGTTGTACGGTAAGTCTAAAGGTACCTGCTGACTTGGGAACATTTTAAGTAAATTGTGCAAATCAGGACGCAGTAACTTATGTACCTACCTGATGAACTTTTATCAAATCTGCTATAAAGACATTTAAACAACGTGTCTTTATATAAAACTGCTATTTCTCTTTCCACATCCTCACAATCTGAAGGAAAGACACCTTTATCGATAATTAAGGTGATCAGCTCCAATGACTTCTCCTTTTCACTGACCGAACAAGACGATCGAACCACAGGAGCGCAAGTTTCTATAATGTCCAATAAGTGTCCCCCAATTTTAACGGGAAAATTACGGACAAGCGTATTTAAAAATTCGAAACAGACTATCTTCACCTTTTTGTACTCGGGTTTATGTAAAACACGTTTTACAAAATTCAAAAGGCCGGTCGTCTTATTGAATATGTTCAAAAAGTACGTATCTGGAAAAGGGTAGTGTTACGAAATTCTATTGGCGGAGACTGAGGTACATACCGATGGTTAAAGCTGGTAGCTCAGTGAGTGTAAATGTTCGATTAATCTGAGATAGGAATTTTTCTGCTTCATTGGGTTGGTTTTTCTCAATGAAAGAGTTTAAACTGTTGCCAAAGGAAAACAGATCTTCCTCCATCTTTGGTAATTAATTTACTGTAAACTTGAATAAGTTCATTAACACAAAACACTATGAAAATCACAAACGAAAAGCACAATTTTTACAAACAGAACTACAAAACGATTTTAAGGTTATGTTTTTTTATTCAAAATCAAAATTGTGTAGGTTAGGTTTTACAACGTTGCCACTTCTTCAATTATGTACAGTATCAAACGATACTAATATTAGTCTTGAGATCATTATGATATTTTCAATTTTCCTTTTAGAGTGCTCTCTTCCAGAACGTTTTCGTGATATTCGAGTTTGTAATTTTGATTCCATTGACATCTCGTGCAGGCCTCCCATTTTCCTTTGAGAGAATCATTTTCCGACACTCCATTTTCGCGATATTCCGGTTCGAAGTTTTAGTCCCCGTGACAGACACATGGCTTAGACCTTTACATGAAATTTCCGAATAAATAAGTAACTATTTTGGCACTTTTGTTAAATTTTTGGCGAATAGGTCATCCTTTGAATTAGAAAAGGATTTGAAGAGTAGAAAATGCATGCTGTACTTCAGATAAGATAATTCCGCGTAAAGTCTGCCTACGTGACTGAAGATAGCATCCTGTAGCGGAGCGTTGATTGCTTTATCGCATTGCCATACTCAGGTACCTAATTGGATGAAACATTCCGATTTGTTTCAAGAGGGAAGTTAACGTCACAAGTAGCATAGTATGGCCGGTTCAAAATCAATGTCACTGGAAAGTCAAACGTAGACGTGGGTTTGAAACTCTGCTAAATCAATGTCACTGGAAGGTCAAACGTAGACGTGGGTTTGAAACTCCGCTAAATCAATGTCACTGGAAGGCCAAACGTAGACGTGGGTTTGAAACTCTGCTAAATCAATGTCACTGGGAGGTCAAACGTAGACGTGGGTTTGAAACTCTGCTAAATCAATGTCACTGGAAGGTCAAACGCAGACGTGGGTTTGAAACTCTGCTAAATCAATGTCACTGGAAGGTCAAACGTAGACGTGGGTTTGAAACTCTGCTGAATCAATGTCACTGAAGGTCAAACATGAATCAAGGTCAAACGGTTTGCCAAGTAGGGGTTCTTGTCGAAACTAAAGAGGTTCTGAGCGGTGATAGCTGTCTTCAAGGTCATTCTGTACTAGGTTCGATTATAAATAAGACGTTAATGATGTGGTGGGAGGATGGATACTTATACCGGGTGATTCATTAGAAGTGATGATCATTTGAATTTCGAGCGTAAGGTTGTAGTATTTTTTGCATTATTAGATTGACGGTTTGAATTTCGTTAGGCATTTTTTTCTGTCATGACTGTCATTTAAGAAACCAGTGTCGCCGTTAATTGTTGTGTGCCATTTGCGGTTTATTACTTTTTCCATTTTGGACAATTTTTGGAGTTGATGCACTAAAATATGTAAGAAACGTGACTGTGTCTAGTGTTAGTTTATAATTTGTGGTAAAACAGAAGCAGTATTTGAAGATTATAAATAAGTAAACGATTTACTGAAAGCATGATGATACACCACTGCAATTAAATAAATGATCATCAGTTAGTACCAACTTCATAATTTATTTGATTTGCGGGAAATTCAAATTGTCCTCACTTCTAGTGAATCACCCGGTATAAGCTTCTGTGTGTTCGTTACAAGGTATACATGTATTAAAAATGTCGTGGATGGCTTATGCTGCAGAATCATGGACCAAAGCTGTCGATTTTATGACGGCAGTGAGACGCCTGAAGCAGCATTTTTCGGCATTAATATTTGATGCAGAGCACGAGGCGATATATGGAAAAGGTGAATATAGCCCAGAGGAGTGCCTAAGCTATTGCCAAAAAGTATGAGTTAGGTGAAGCAATATGCGATAGTTACTTAAGCTATAAAATATGTGACGAATGTATTATCCGGAAACTAAGGGATGCAAAGTTGGAGCATTTTAGTCAAGAGTTACAAGCGTGGAAGAATGAAGAATCATCAGCATCCTCTTCCGGTGAAGAGTGTTAGTTTCGATGAATCCAATAATAAAACGTACATAATGGTGGCATGGCATTTTGCTTATTGGGCAGCAAGGAAAGTACCTATGTCTTCAGATCGTGAGCGGGTGCAGGTCAACAAGCGCTGAAACACTCCACATACGTCGTATGATTCCACAGATCAAGGAATCGGACGAAAGGAAAAGAAATGGTATAGACTTCTACCTCTCGCAGGTACTGTCCGGATACGTTTCTTTTTCTCATTCTTACACAGGATGGAATACGAACGAAAACACTGATGCTGGTATTGCAATTGCAAGGAGGACACTCGCGAGCAGACTCTGTTAAGATGTCCCGAATGGAATGGGGAACGGTTGATTCTCTTCAATAAAATTATAGAATGGCCTGAAGTGTAAATAATATGCGACTATCGGAAAGAAATTAGGAGGAAATAAGAGAATTCTGTAGAACAATACGAAAATATGTGGTTATACTTACAATTACACTGATATAAAAAATAATAATGTCTCGTAACGTTTTCTTTGTGATACCCTTTATTAGGGACATTCTTATCAACGTATGAATTTATTAATTTTGCCCACTCTGTATATCTAATTTTCATCTTATGCGATAACTTTTTAGATCTGGCAATGTAGCACAGCTCATCTGACATAACCAAACTTTTAAATGTAAACCTAACCTAACATTTTTTGTGGGTTTTTCGGATTAAAGTTAATTATTTGCTCACAATGTTAAAAGTTCTACCCATACTCCCTCATATATCAAGAAGACTAATTACCACAGGATCACAACTACTTTGGCACGTACCGGAGTGCCCAGAACTAGATTTGAAGTACCTGTGCAATTTAGAACATTTAGATGAAATTAATAGCAACATAAAAGCCCGAAAAGGCGTTGGCGATATAAGTCTCGTTTTAAAACTTAAAGAAAACCTAAGCAATCTCACATCCGTTGACCACAATTACGAAAAAGTTCGCAGACAATTTTATGACGAATTACTGAAAATTCCAAACCGTACTCACCCATCGGTCGCGCATCTCAACGAACCAATAACAGTCAGCACCACTGGGGAAAAGAAAACCTTCGATTTTAAGCCGAGAGAGTTTTACGAAATATGTAAACGTCTAAACTTCGTTCGAACAGATCAGCTGGGCAATGTGGCGGGTAGTCGAAGTTATTATTTACTCGGCGACATGGCGGAACTGGAGAAGGCGCTTATCAGTTATACTGTGTCGCATTTATTGGATGAGAACTTTGAGCTGGTGTCGGTTCCGGATATTTTGCATCGCGATATTATCGAAGCGTGTGGGTTGAATACGCACGGAGATCGAACGCAGGTTGGACGGATCGCGTAATTTTGAACACTACTCTGTAATTTGTAGGTTTACAGTTTGGACTCGGAAATGTTCGGGCCTGATTTGTGTTTGTCCGGTACGTCGGAGATGGCTTTGGCGGCAATGTACGCCAACGAGGTGATACCTGCCGGTCGTTTACCCGTGAAGCTGGCGGCCGTTAGCCGATGTTATCGAGCCGAAGCATCCAGCGTGGCGGAGGAACGAGGAATCTATAGGTAACGTGCCCCTTGTGCTAGAAAGAAGCTAACCGGTTGTTTAGGGTTCATCAATTCACCAAGGTGGAAATGTTTGCGATCTCGAAGCCCGAGGACTCCAACGGCATTTTGGAGGAGTTTCGATTAATAGAGGAAGGGAATTTCGCCTCGTTGGGCCTTCATTTGCGCACCTTAGACATGCCGCCGAATGAGTTGGGGGCACCCGCTTATCGAAAGTACGACGTTGAAGCGTGGTTACCTGGCCGAAATATGTATGGTGAAGTATCTAGTTGTAGTAACTGCACCGATTATCAATCGAGACGTTTAAACATCAAGTATAGTGATGGAGATTGTGTCGGTTACGTGCATACTTTAAACGGTACTGCTTGTGCCATACCGAGGATGCTAATCGCAATTATAGAGACTTTTCAGACTGATAAGGGTGTTATTAGTATACCGGAAGTGTTACGAAAATATATGAATAATAGGACTGTTATAGGTAAACAAACGGCGATTCCAGATTTAAAATTAATAAAGTATAAGAAATAAATAATTTATTTTCTTATTTATAATTACGAGAGGTGAATGAGAAACTTAATTTTATATGATGCTAATTAACATATAAGTATTAGTAAGCAACCAAAGAGTCCTTGGTGGGACTACAACTGAGTTTAACAAAACTAAAAGTTAGTTTCGAAGGCCGTGTGATTATATCACAATTACGTTACAAAGTAATAAATATTGTAGTCCTTGCAAATTTGATCAGTTTCACATTTATACATAGTACATGTCACATGTTGCTATAAATTAAATTGTTACTCGTAACTTAAATAATTTGCTACAAAAGTGTAGAGGGGCCCCAAGCAAATTTGTCGTAATTTTATAACAAAAACTCAGTGCCATTAGGCAATGAAAAAGTAGTGATTACGATGGGCTAGGCAAATATGTACTAATTTACAAGCAAAATTGCTCTATGGCCTTCTATACTTTCATATCATTGCTACACCTGCCTTGCAGAATTTAAAATTAAACTGACGTAATTATTAATTAATGGGAAAATAGTACATTTCTTTATAATATAATATTTACATATATTTACATTTAATTTTTTTAATTAAAAAATACACTTCACATCAAAAAATTGTATGGATTCCAATAGTACTAGAGTCACATCTTCCAATTTGTTTGTATGTGCCTCAATGCACACCGACAAATAGGAGGTCTTCAACATGTAGAAAATTCACAAAAGTACTTGATACACAAATTTTGATGTGCTTTAGGAATATTTTAAGTGCGTCGAATATAAAATTTTACAAACGAATTGAGCTGCACGTCCTTAAATCTGTCGGAGACGGTAGGTGCAGGCCGGGTACTAAGTAGTCTTGTATCGCATTCGCGTGCTGTGCTCTATGTACTAACCTTCTAGTAAAACTAGGAAATTACACGTTCCGTTGCTTATTGGCAATAATAACTAATGCTAGGGTACTACAAGAAATGCACCAAATAGAAAACGTCCATATGGCATTTAAGAAAAGTTATTCGATTGTAAAAAAAAAGTGAAAAATGGAATATAAAATTATATTATCTACTTGACTAGAATAACTTGGTTTATTAATCACACGTTTATGCATGCAGCCGTTTCACTATTGGACGGAAAAGTAAACGAAAGAGGAGTAGGAATTGTAGGTGGCGCGTTTGGCAGTCAAAAACGGCTGGCAAGTCAATTTAAAAACTATCCTAATAATTTGGCCTTTAAAAGTTGGTGTCGTAGTCGGATCTTCGACGGCCGTACCCGCTGTGACTACTGCCGGGGTGGTTACCATAGTACGTATTGTAGTAATAACCGTTCCACTCCGATCTCCAACTGTCGTAAATATTTGGCATGCTATTGTCGTGTAGTGACTCTGCCGATCTCTGAAAAAAAAGGCGTGAGTTGTCAAGTTCAACGAATGATCGCTTACCTTTTTAGGCAGTTTTGTTTCGTAGGGTTTATCGTTCCACACATCCTCCATGTTGTACAAATCGTCTGCGCCGTAATTATCTATTCCACCCATGTGGTTTTTGTTCAGTTCGTTTAACATCTCTTCTGTGAGAGTGGAGGGTTGCTTCTTTTTGGCATTTTTCTGTTTATTTACTATCTGTAATTGAAGACAATAAATTAAAGTCAGTGTTTTGTATTGTTTGGGTGAATTTTAATTAGGAATTGCAGTGTAAGACTGGATTTTTGTAGTGCAAACGGTTTAGGGGCCGTATTATCACACATATTTTCGGATGGTGAAAGACCGATTCGCAGTAGGTAACAGTTCATAGTTACTTAATATATGTGCTAATAAAAATAATAATGGACTATTTGATCTGATTCTGAGGTTTCGGTTCATTTCACTTAGCGTACGTAATCGTCCGTTGTGTGTAAATTCAAATACGCATTTTTTCCGGTAGTCAGCCCTTGTTTCCATTTTTTGTTTCCGATTGCTGTCCAAAGTTGGTGTTCACGCAATTAGTTTCAAGTTATAGAAGAGGAGGTCCCAATGAAGGTAAGTAAATGAGCGGGAAGATAGAAGGTTGCACCAATTGCGATGATCTAAAGGTATAGTGGGTTCACTTTACCTAGCCTAATGTAGCTAATCAAAGAATTTTCACACTTCTGCCAGTTTTCCAAGTTAAATATCCTTGTGCGTAAGTATACCTATACAGTGTGTAAATTTGAACTCTGAGTACCTATACAAATTTTCTGCCCATGAAGATCATATGTTCGATTCTAAAATGTAACATGTAGGTACACGTCAAATGCCCCTTAAGATATGCCACCAGTCTTACCTAACAATTTGAATTACTTTTTCAACTGTTTTTCAATAAATGCCATTATCTGCATTAATTATTAAGTAAAGATTATTATATCACTAATAAAATGTATGCAAAAGAAAAACAAGTTAAAAAGTAATCGTAAACGATTTACATAAAGCGCATTTCCACTTTCATTCATTTCCCATTTGTAAGATGCAACTTCTGTTAAAATCGTAAAAATCCGGCCACAAATATGAAAGATAGCGTTGCACATGAGCAATCCATTTTTGACATGCTATTTCAATTTCAGTTTATAAGAAGAATTTCATTTCAATGCTTTTCTAAATAAGAAAGTTGGAAATGCGCATGCGTAAACCTAAATTTTGAAACTAAGTTAGATTTCCCTTTGTTCCAAGCGCCAAAGTATCAAATTTCACTTAAATGCTTCCATAGATAAAAAAGTTGGCACTGCGCATGGGCAAAATAAAATTTTTAAACTGGCGCTAGATTTTCCTTTATTCCAAGCGCCTATGTATCAAATTTCATTTAAATTCTTCCATAAATAAAAAAGTTGGCACTGCGCATGCGCAAAACCAAATTTTGAAATTGGCGTTTGATTTTCCTTTATTCCAAGTGCCTATGTATCAAATTTCATTCAAATACTTTTATAAGTAAAAAAGTTTGCAATTCGGTTTATAAATGGTCGAGATGCGAAAAGGGCACTGTGAATTTTGAGTCGATTCGATTCAACTTTTGGCATTGCGTATTATATGGCTAAAGCTATGCCCATATTGAATTTCATGCAATTCAGTTCATAACTAACGGAGATGTAAAAGCGATCGAACATTTCTAAACAAAGTTATCGTTCACACGGACAGATAGATGGACAGACAGACAAAGGAACAGACGGACAGACCAACCGGCAGGCGACAGATAGCAATGCAAAATTATAAACGATCTCTAGGATCGTTAATAAACGGCAAAAGTGTAAAATTATGGAACATGTAAAAAACGGTTTTTTGTTTTTTTTACAATAACTTTTTTTGTAAGCGGTACAGAAAAAATTCCTTCCTTGGTACAAGACTCGACACCATAACGAACCAAATAGCGAAAAAAGTAGAACAATAGCTCTTAAGATAAAGAACTATAGTAGCGTCGCAACGATTGCCCGAACGGACGGACAAAGTGGCCACAATAGCGCATTTTTGTGTTTATTTTTGTAGAAATGCGCTAAAAAGGGACTTAAGCGTCTGGATGCCAATTTGAAAGAGAAAATCACTGGCGCAAACAGAATTCAGCTATCTCTAATCGTTTGGCCGCTAGGGGGCGCTTCCGAATTTAGTCGATTTCCATAATGCCCCATAACTTTCTTATTATTAAAGATAATTGATTTTGGCAAAATCTTTCTTAGAGTACTTTTTTATGTAGAATCCATCTGAATGGAGTTTTTATACAGGGTGTTTTGTTTTTCTTATACGACCCTAAACTATATTTTTTCATATGGACCAATCTATACAGCGTGGCAAGTTGACGGCGGAACATAGGGAACCTAAAGAAAAAGTAAAAATACGCCCGGATAGATACTTAAAATCGCCATTAGATGTCACCAAAAAAGCGTGCATAAGCCCTTTTTTAAAAGTATAAAAGTCAAATTAATAAATTCGTTGGCCATGATTTACCTACCGCATTTGTTACCTAATTCTTTGATTTAACTGTCATCTGTAATTATTTCATCCTTTTGTGGTTGAAGTGAGATGATAGTCAAAAGACCGATTTTTTGTAGTAGGTACCTAGCAAGTGTGACACATCACTCCATGGCCAACCAGTTTTTACCAATTTTTAGGATTTTTTATTTAATTTTTAGGCTTGCATAAGACCTTACAGTTGCGTATTTTTATGTTATCTGATGGATATTTTAGTTATCTATCCGAAGATGTTTTTATTTTTTCTGTAGGATGAAATGGGGAGCAGGAATTACCGAAAATGTCTTTTCCCATGTTATTTCCCTATGTTCCACTATCAACTTGGACGCTGTATATTTTAGAGTTTTTGAATAAAGGGTAAAATTTTCTAAATTTGGATGTATCACTTGTTATATTTTAATATTAAATATGATTTGCCATTGCAATATTGCATTTTATACACTAACATATTTATATTGCACACATCTAGGTTTCCATGGCGAACAAAAGATGGTAGGATTGTGTAAAAAGACAATTTCTTGGTTATTCGGAAATGTTTATTAGTTTCCAAATATTTTTAAGTTCAAATAATACACAAAAAACAAAGAACGTGAAAACACATGCAAATAAAACAAATAAGTCATATAATATACAGGGTGGCAATTTGAAAACTTACCATCCCCCATGTCTTAGTAAATACACGAGATATTTTCAAAAATCAAAATCTGTGTCGGTAATTCGGAGGGGGAATCACAATGACATAGTTGGCGACGCACCCCCTCCAACCCCCTGCGCCCCAGCCACCCCAACTTTTAAATCATAAGCAGTGACCCCCCATGTGTGATACGTCGTTGGAATGCTCTGAAGAAATGCTTTCCAACCATACCAAATAGCATTACATTTAGGTTAGTAATTATCGTGCAAATGTGGTTGCTTGATCTTTTATTTATCACTATTTGTATTGCTATCTAGAAGATAGTAGTACAGAAAGCGGATAAAGGTATAAAAAGACACATTCCTTCACCCATAGCAGACATGAAAAATACACAAAATAAATATTAATAGCCTTTTTTCTTCTTAATTTAACCCATAAGCCAATAAAGAAAAACATTTTGAACATTTTATGACATAAAAGCCAGCTTTAGAAAATGTATCATATTAGTTTATTTTTTGATTTGCACGATAATTACTAACCTAAATGTAATGCTATTTGG